TCTGGTAGCCACTTCGTTCAGTTACGTATTGCTGGCGCAAACGAAAGCTATTCTATTAATAAATACAATACAGTCATATTTTGTGTTGTGGCTGCACTATGACAAATTATAAATGCAATACTGCCACAACTCTAAATATTGCTGTTTTCCATCAACATACACACGATAATTAGTTTTATTCAGTGCAAGAACGCCGCAAGTCGAAATAAGGCAGTCACTTGAATTTTGACTTCAGTGATAATTTGGATAAATTAAAATAAGTATACTGCCATAAAGTGAATATGGCTCTCTTGCATTGAAAATTAACTAACATTTAAATAATTCAATACTGACACATCTCTATAATTGGCTAAATAAAAATTATATTAGATATGTGCGTTCTTGCATTTATAGACTATTTTCTCTATTCAAAGTAGTCATAACTCAAAATTCATGAATTTTGAGTTGTGGCAGTCTTGTTCTAGCAGTGCGACTTAATGAATTTCCATGTATATTGACCAATATCGCCAATTACACAAGTCGGGCGGACATGCTTTAATATTTAATAATAAGTACCTACATTATTGATATTTCGTGCGGAAGTTCTCTTCACAATGAAATCGAGTGGTACTTAACTCATAATAAAACTTATAATAGTAGTGCTAGTAAAGATGAAAAAATGATGAAAATTTTTTTTTTAGAATATTCTGCGTTACTTAAGTAAGTATTAACTATCAATACACTTATACTATTAAACAAATTTGGAAGACAAGTATTTATTTTTATCATAAATATCTACTAAATTGTATAATATGTGCACAAAACGTTCATACAGTCATACGTAAAAAACGGTGTTATAAATATAATATTTGTTGCGACAAGAATAATTTATAACAAATGTTGTACTATAATTTCAAGATTTTTTGAACTGGGAATTTTTTACTTTTTAATTTTTACCACTCCTCCTAAAAAAAGAAGCAAAGTAATAATTAGAGATTTAATTTTATATTAAAAATCTTCATCAAAGTTGGAACATTTTAACTGCTCCTAGGCATCAAATACAAACAAATACATACTATGTCAAAAATTATTTATCATCTAAAAGAAAAAATAACCTATATATAGATTGCGTGTATTACAAATTTGGATTTATACAGTTAATGCTTTTTTCTTTAACCGATAATACAGTCCAAATATTTTAAAATTCCTTAGTAGTTATACGTTCTGACATAAAAAAAAAAAAAACTAAAACATATTTTTTTCCCTATTTTTTTGGGATTCTACAGCCTTTCATGATATTCAATATATGCGTGGAACACCTATACTTATAACTACATATTATATAATATAGTATTTAAGCAAAACATTAGTGTGTTATTTAATTAGTCCACAGTGAAGTTTTCAATTTTAATATTTTAAACTGAAAAATACCTTTATGATTTTTATAGTCAATAAAATTACTCATACAAATATCGACGAATAAAACAAACGTACGTCCACATGTTTAACAAATATATCCACCTACATTTACTAGGTAACAGCTTTATGATTGATCATTTCTCATTTTTATGTTTACCTATCTTTTTATTACTATTGGTACACAGATAGTATAAATAACATCTGGGACCTTGAGCATAATTTTATATATAAGTACGATTAATATTTATTAAATAATCACTTCGCAACTTGACTCTTGCGTTCATATTGTACTCACCAGTTGTTCAGTTCAATTTTCGGAAGTGACGCATATCCTGTCTACCACTAACATCACTATAAAACATGGACTATGATGTTGCAAATATAAAAAATTATAATTCAGAAAATTTATAATTTTTAAATTTTTAAACTGAAATTTAAGTAGTATATAAAATATATTGTTATTATTGAACCATGATAACGGAGTATAATAAACAGGATCTACAAGATTAAACTGTTGAACATTTTCTAACGTTTCATAAATCATTTGTCATATTTAATCGATGAGGTTGATTTAATATCATTGTCAAAATATAAGTATTAATTGGTAATTTTTCTAAATATTTTTGTTAAATTAGGCCAAGAGTCAATAGATGTATAATTTTCTTACATTTTAAGACACACATAACGATAAAATAATCAATCGTGTGTTAAAATAGTTCAAAAATGATTGCAAACAATATAAACCTAAAAATAATATTCTATGCCCCAGATATTTAATTTATAATTTTCAGAATTAATCTTGATAGCTGAGTCACTGCTCAGTGTCGCATAGGAATGCGCAGAATTAGCGTCGTACTCGTTAGATAAAGTATAGATTTCCAATTGTGCAATATCGTATAACATGATTTAATATGTAAAATGAATATATGACAAATTTTTATTTATTTTTCATTTATTTATTGTAGTTGCCATATGGTTAGATGAAGGGTTACAATTTTTTTTTTTATATAGCACCGAATCATAGTAATAGTAAAATAATAGAGATGTTTCATAACAACAAATAAGTGTAGTCGTGTACGAGTATATTATACAATACGTATATAACATTAAGAACACACATTTATACGGTGGTCAAATATTAAAAAGGTGGCTAGATATGGTAACTCTTCGTGTTGCTTAAATTCTTAATGCTGATGGCCGTCATGTTTTCACGTGATTACAGTAACGTTTATGGTCGCCGTAAACTACGCGTAGTAGTGCATTACTGTCGTTGTCGACAGCACAAGAGAGAAAATTAAAACTTAATTAAATAAAATTTCACATAACCATCTTCATGATTTGTGTGATTTGTTCTTCGATCGGTGTCAACCTCGATGTACAAGAATAAGTAATCTGGTATTCTTGACAACTCAAGTGTATTGAAAATTGAATAACTGTTGGTCTAATGATACAAACAGCACTACATAATCATAGAAAACTGAAAACATTTCAACTATGATAATATCAAATATCAATATTGGCACGTCTCGTATTGCATCAAATTGAAACAAATCACAGTTATTAATGCCATGTGCAATGTGCTATTTGCCAATGTGCCATTGTTTATCCAATAAAATCCACTTATAAATATAACTATCGTCCAACATTTATAGATATTTTAATTGGCTGTTCTTATTAGTTCGGTGATTAAGGGGTTATGGTAATTAAAAAATTAAGAGAACTCTTGTGATGAAAAAAATATAGTTCTACTACGGTAGAATATTGAGAATTTTTGCTGTTTTCTATTTTCTGTTACAAAATAATTCCCTCGAAAAATAAAAATAAAAGTTTTAAGTTTGATACCTACTTGACAACGAATTTATTATAATATTTTTATTTTTTTATATTATTTGAAATTATTAATTAGTCGGTCAAGACCGACGGATTGTAGAAAATTTTGAACAACTTCGTATTATAAAATTAATCTAAATAATAAATAGTTAATGTTTTGAAAATGAAATTATGTATAGAAAATTATTAATTATTCATAGGTTAATTTATTATTATTTATTTATATATATTTATATATATATATATATTATATATACACACACATAAAATATTTATGTAATAAATCAGTTGTCATCTAGCGTCCATAAAATATCATACGTGTTATTTTATGGTAATCTTCACCTGTTATCTCTATGAAATTCGTTTTCTAAAATATTCCAGGATTAGGAAACTTTTACACAATATTTTCAGCTAGCCGATTGACAACAATAATTTATGAAGGTAGCTGACTGGTGACAAGCATAATGATTCATTCATATACAAACACGTCAATTAAATTTATTTATCGAAAAAAAGGTTTTTTCGGTAAACAAAATTGTACAATTAATAAAATATTAAAAATCACTCTTCTGTGACGAGTTTTGCATCATAATAGTCAGGCCAATGTTGTGCATTTGCAATTGAATTCAAAATGAGCATCTACCTAACAATATTCATGCTGTTTGCTATCCATATAGTTAAGGGTTTGTATGGCTTTTAGAATATTATATTATTAACTGTTGTATAACTATTTAATCAGACATGTATACCTATTTAACAGGATTATTCGAGAGATACATATTACATGATAAATAATTACAATTCAGTTTTTTAAAGAAATCTTTTTTGAATTCTAGTTCATATAAAAGCATCTAATCAAAAAGGTGGAATTACTTCGGATGATCTTAACAGTTCTGATCAAGAAGATATTGAACAACCACAGTCTATCGATGAAACCAGATTGAAGATTTTCTATTCCAATTCGTATGTAATATTATTGTCTTATAGATAAAATCGAGTAATAATTTTGAATAATACTTTTAAATTTATGTAAAATAATAACGATTTTATAAATATAATAGCTTTGTCCAATATTTTTAGGTAATCGTAGTATAAATAGTTAATATATACAGTAAAACCTCTCTATAACGGATCCTCTATTAAACGGAATCCTCCTTATAACGGAAAATGTCAATAGTCCCGGTGTAAATAATATATAATTTCCTACCTCTCTATGACGGAAAACTCTTTATAACGGAAAAAATATTGGTCCCAAACGATTCCGTTATAGAGAGGTTTTACTGTACTGTGTTACGTACTGTTATAAGGTACCTGCGCATAGATTATTATTATTTTAATTTATAAGCATCATTGTACTGGATGAGGGTGAGGGGTTAATAAAATGATTATGCACATCTATTCGTCTAATATTCTAATACTTAGTTCACTAGTTCTACGTCGACCGAATTTAAATGTGTAAATGTATGTAGCTCAATCAGCAGTGATAGAGATCATCGGGCAAGTACTGATAAACTACAAGTGTGTTATAAATGTATGAGTTGTTATGAGTATATGTGTGAGCGTGTACGTATAGATAATCTTATTAATAATAAATAAACTAGTAATACTATCAATTTGTTTAATAATTAAAAAAGTATATTAAGTAATAAAGGGAATGACAGAAATCAAATTACGGCATCTCCATGATAACAAGTAAGAAGAATATAAAATAAATATAGGTATACGTAAATATTAAAATTGAAAAAAAAAATAAATGTATAAAACTCACAATTTTGTCGGTACCCTGCTGGTCAGTTTTCTAATTGTGTCTATATAATAAAGTTGACAAATGCACATACAATACACAATAGTTCATAGTAATAAAAAAACCACAATGATTTGCGCCCACGAAATATGTAATAGTAAATAAACGGACGGGTAGATGTGACGTTTTACAACCAATAATATAAAAATACACAATGATTTGCGGCGCGACATATTGAAACAATAATAATAAGTATAAAAAGTCCTTTCATGGCAATAAACGCCACAAAAAGTATACACGTTTAATAATAATTAACCCTTATGGCCAACAAGGTTACAATAAAACACTCTTTTACTATTAGAGCAAAAAAAACGGATTTTACATGTGTGGGTTTTAACGCGACATCGTACGATGTAAAAATATTACGGCGGCCGGTTCCGTTTCGACACGTAATACGTTGATATAATACATAAAAATTCAAAGAATTATTAATATTTGCTCAGACTTTTAAGATTGTATTTTATTTTTTACAATATATAGTTTGTGATTAACTAAATGTTAAATTTTAATTCATTTTTTAAAATTTGTGTTATTGCTTGTATTTCTATTACACAAATGACAAATAATGTACAGTATTCATATCACTATAAAAAATATTTTTAATTTTTAAATAATGTTTTTTTTTAATGTTTAAACAGAAATCTTGGAAATAGTAAAAAGATTCCAATTGGATGTGGTAACGAAAGTAGTATACTTGATTACTGGATAAAAGATTTACCTTTAAAAGTTATTACTCATGGATGGCTTTCATCGGATAAAAATAACGATGGGGTATTTATCATTAGAAACGGTATAATATAAAACAACTAATATTATTCTGATAATTAAATAAAATCCTACTTTACTTGATCTCGACGAATAATATTTTATTCAATGTCAAACTATATTAGCATATATCGATGTCGGCGGGTTCAATGTAATCTCAGTGGATTGGAGTAGTATTGCAAAAGATCCTAAGTACCCAGTTCCCGCAATCTTGACCAGAGCCATTGGTTCTACGGTTGCTAAATTTTTAGACCGTTTGGTTGGTGTCACAGGAATAGAATCGTCGGATATACATTTAATAGGTCACAGTCTCGGAGCCCACGTTGTAGGATCGTGTGGTTCTTATTTTAAATCTGGAAAAATCGGCAGGATTACCGGTGAGCACTTTGGACATACTAACATGAATGTTGCATACGTGTCTTGTATACATGCTTATTGCTAAAATGAAATCATAATATAATACCTAAATTGCTGGTGTTTTAAAATTAAAATGAACAATTAAAAATGAAAACATAAATTTGCAATGTAATTAAAACAAAAAATATTACCTATATTTAAAACTAAGAAAACTATCGGTTGATCCGGGTTCAATTTCAAAAATATATTTTTATTTTTTTTTTTCAAAGCTACACATCAAAGTTTTGCGTTTTGCGTTTATATTTTAAATATTTTCCCCTAATCTTTATGATGCAAATTCAATTTTGATGACCTGAAATTAATACCTGATAACAATTGAAATTAAAAATAATAATATGACACATCATTTTGTAGATTGTGAATGGGTTTTTAGTCCATAATTTATAATAAATATTAGATAAATATCTATCACGTGTTCTGTATTATCATTAATGAAAATTTAAAAATATTTGAATAACATTTGATCCTACAACAAAATGTAAATTAACTATTTTATATTTATGAAAGTCTTTAATTAAATCATAATAATACCTATGTATATTGTGACGCGTGCTTATAAAATTATGTAAAATGTAATTATGTACTATAGGTTTAGATCCGGCCAAACCTGGATACGAGATTGTAGCTGTTCATTTACCATACTTGAACAAAAAAGATGCCCAATTTGTCGACATTATTCATACTTCAGGAGGGTTCATGGGCTTCTTTGAAAGTATAGGCCACGCCGACTTCTTTCCCAATTCTGGTTCACCTCCTCAACCGGGATGCTATTCATTTTTCGATTTACTAGATTTCAGTAAGTATTCTGTCAATCTAAAAAGGTTAATAAGGTTGGTAGGTATAAAATATATGATTGATATATACGTAATATCAAGGTACTTTTTATACATCTAGTAATAGACGTTTGTTTTTTGTATTGCATCCAGATGAAATTATTCTATCAAAAATCATTGAACCATTGAATAAGTATTATTGCGGCATAAAGTAACATAGAAACTGTTTTCAATTTGAAACAATTGAGTTGTGGCTCAATCATATGTACCACATAATACAAGCCTGATAACAATATTATTTGGGTTATTTTTATAATTATTAATTTTATAACTGATAATTTCTACCTGGCAGAGGTATATTTCATTAGTTTTATATTGGTCGTTCTCAGTGATAAATTAACTAAAATTACCTGAATTTAAAATAGGTAGATAACTTAATTATTATAACAATCGTATGATCTATTCAAACGTATAATAAATATCATCGAATTAACAAATTAATAGAACAAATTTAATTATTCACATGATAAAATAGTGTGGCGTAACTGATCAATTAATTAGCTATTGTGCTCTTATAAAATATTTAATTATTTGCAGTACATTGCAGCCATTCAAGATCATATGAACTTTATGCAGACTCTGTGTACCATATGAAGTCATTAGTTGCTGTAAAATGTCCTTCATGGATAGATTTTAAACACGACAAATGCGAAAACAACATTCGTGAATTTATGGGGCACAACACATCACACAGGTAGATTGATAATGAATTTAAATAATAGTTTATGGTCAACAGTTCAATTTTGTTTCTTTATCTACTCTCATTTATGTTTGTTTATAAAAATGAATATCGAAAAGTGTCTTTAGTAAATGGTTAATAGTGGTATTTATTTCTTATGTTAATATATTTATGTAAGTGTATTTTTTCTGATTAATAAATTATACCGTTCTTATTTTTAGTGCTAGAGGTGATTTCTACTTGAAGACCAAAGGATCCAGTCCTTATAGTATTAATTTGTAATATATTTCATATTTTTATTGCATTAATCAGAAATAGATAAATCACAAAATAAATGATTTCAAACATCAATAGTATAAACATTATATAAATAGATATGCATAAATATGTAAAGGTTTTTAATTTTGAATTGAAATAAAACCTAAAATTCTAATGTTAATGTGCTTTAGCTTTAAAACAAATAATGAATATTATTATAATAAACTAGCTGACTCAGCAAACGTTATTCTGCCGTATAAATTATTTCTAATAAATATTTTGGCAGTCTATTAAAAAAGAACTAAGTTATTGTTAAGTGTGTTGGAGTGTGATGTACTGGGATATAACTGAAAGAAGAATAGAGCACTGGGAACGATGGCGGCCTAAAAAATAAACATACACCAAATATTCTTTTTTTGAATTTATTATATTTTTACTAATAAATTTTAAATTACATCTCTATCACAACTGAATCTGGATTCGTACCGATAAGTAAACTTTTCAATGGTTCAGTTGGTGTTTCAATTTCCGATAATTACACTTTTTCTAACGCGCAACGTACGCCAACTGGCTCATTTTTTAATTTAAACGCATTACAGTGCGGACATTTACAATGAAAGTATCGATATAACACGTGCAACTGTATCAATAAAATCGGGTTTGATTTTAATGAAAAAAAAAAAAAAACTCATTTTTTATAATAATTAAAAAAATATATATTAGTATATAGCTATTTGACATGTAAAAAAGAGAAACCCTTTAAATAAATATTAGTTTAATTATAAAGTCAATTCATTTAAATATATTTGTTACTGTCAGTGTATAATCGGACGTTGTAGTACAATGCCCGGACGGTCAAATGTAAACTCCTACACGAATAACCTTTTTATCTTTATCATCATTAAATGTGTAGGAGTTTTCTTACACCGATAATATTTTTACATTTTAACCTGAAAATCAAAAATACTATAATAAACTAAAGTAAATTGATAATTTCAATCAGGTTGAGCTTGAATGTCAATCAAATCTACTTGACAACGAGTATTAATTTTTAAAGAAATGATTGGCTTAACAACTAGTCCTTTTTTTCAAAGTTTTACCTTTTCTCTGACATAATTCACTTAGATTCTAAGTGAAATGCTAAAATTAATTTACTTAGATTTTTTAAATATCATTAAACATTCCTTTGTAATATTTTTATATTTCGCGTTCAGTTCATTTTCCATTAGGTTTCTTCCTCATGTTCAATTAGCAAATGAACGTCATGAATTATTTTATACAACTCTTCGTTATAAACATTATATTTGGTAGTATTTGAATCAGTTATCGGTACAATCAATTTATTAATATATTACATGTATTTATTATATTATAGCGCTCCAATAATTTATAATCATTTGGTTTTAATTTTGCTCCACTTTTTAACAGTTTAACTTCTTCTAATACTTCGTTGTATTTTACTTTACTTAAAAATATATTATTCAAATTTTTTTTTACTCAAAAGAATATTAAATTTTTCATAAAATTTTAAATCAACCATTTTAAATATTAAAAAAATAAAAGTTTTAAGAATATTCAAAAATCAAAATAATAATATGTGTAAAAATACAATTGTTTCCTTAAATGGTGTAACTTCAACTGATCTGAAATTCTATATAATATATCTACAGGACCGCTTAACGTTTAGACATATTGACTAAAAAGCCAACATGTTTGGGTACAAATAGACACAGCGTTTGGACACATAAAATAAAAGGTATTTTATAATTTTACCTGGTAAATCAGAGAACGTTTGGGTACACAATACACAAATTATACAAGACATGTTTGGGTACACTTTATAAACACGTGATCTACAGTAGTGCTATATTTTATTTCCAAACCAATTAATATTAATTACTTATATTATTTTGATTAGGTAGGTATTCTATGAGTATTATCGTAGTATATGTGACAACGAACTTATACGTAATTGTTATCATATATAAAATAAAATAATTAATGATAAAAAATAAAATAAACATTTATGGAAGATTATTAAGAGTCAACCTCCTCGCGGAGTCTCCTGGGTAACTCTAATAGGTTCTAAAAATAAAGTGTAAGAGTTTAAAAGTAAAAAATTTGCACCTAAACGTTGATACCTAAATATAGGTACCTAGTATTATTTAAAAAATAATTTGTTTCCCAAACGTTGTATTGATTTTTGGAGTCTGAAAAAAAGTGTACCTGAATGTGTATTCTCAATCGTTCTACCGAATCTCAGATTATAATTCTCCCGAATTATACACTTTGACCGTAACATATTATCTAAAATATTAAATATAATTTGACTTCATAAGTTACACTTGTCATTTTTAAAACTTTTTTAAAAACACTAGCCAATGTTACTATGGTGTCATTATGATTAATTAATAATAATAAATATCTGGATACGTCTACTAAATTTGTAACAAAAATCGATTAAAACCGTACGATTATTATAATCAGAAATATTGTTTTTGATTTTATAGTAACCGAAGCAGAGAAAATGGTACTTATTTGTTATCGCTCCGCCAGTACCCCATAAAAAATTTATTTATCACCCCGCCACTCTTGTTTGTTATCGCTCTGCCGTATACAATTTTCGTGTTTTACTCGTGATAGATAATTTATTTTAGGAAATATTTTGGTAATAATTAAGTTAGAAAATAATTAATAAGAAATTGGTGGCCCCGGTCTTTTTGTCGAAATAGATGAAAGTTTATTTGTGCGTAGAAAAAATAATGCTGGACGTATTCTGCCATAGCAATGGATTTTCGGTGGAATATGTCGGGAAACCAACGCGTGTTTTATAATTAGTATACCTGATCGATCGGAGAAAATATTGTTACCTATAATACAAAAGTATATAAAACCAGATTCAATAATTATGTCAGATTCTTGGAAAGCCTATAATAATTTGCAGCAAGCGAGATTCAAACATAATACCGTTAACCATACTTATAATTTTGTTAATACGTACACAGGAGCACACGCCCAAAATATCGAGAGGTTATGGGGTTCTGTAAAGTGGGATAATAAAAAGCGCCGTGGAACTGATAGAAATTTTTTGAAGTCCTATTTGGCTGAATTTATGTGTAGAACACGTCTCGGGGAACAAGATGCATTTCAAGCTATTTTAAATGATATTTCTGAGTTCTGGTCTCCATTGTAATTTAACACACTTAATTTTTAATTTATAATTATAATACATTTTTTAAATTTGAATTTTATACTTTTATACTATTTTTAATAATATTAAATATTGAAATATTTTTGTATTTATTGTATTGTTTTTTTTTTTATTTATGACGGGGCGATAAATTTTTTACGAAGTACTGGCAGGGCAATAAAAAACAAGTACTGTGAAAATATAAAAAATTTAATTTTTGGAGGTTACTTGCTAAAATTTAGTGTTCAATTCAAAATATCCTAAAAATACCAAAAATCTGAAGTGAAAAGTGTAGGTATTATATTATATTACTAATTATACAGTTCATACGACTCACACTTTTTGTATTTAGAAAAACATACTTAAAACTGGTTAAACGAGATAACGACTGATAATTTTAATCTAGAAAAATTGTGTACTTCAAATTGAAAACTAAAGCAATAGGTATTTTAACGAAGATATTATTATAATGGACCAAATAGGGTATTATTTATTCAACTATAGACTGTTTTTGTAAATCTAATATTCTGGTATATACCTATCACCTAAACGTCCTAAATGTACTAAAATTTTCGGATTACAATACATAACACTATTTATATAGCTATTGAATTTGCATATAAGTCATTAGAATTATTAGATGGTCTTTTATAAATCGTTATACGTTGTCGTGCATTAAAAAAAAAAAAAAAAAAAACCAACTATTTTACTACATAACGAGTTACGATGATATGATTACCTACGTATATATTTGTTTTAGGTACATTTAATTTTATACATAACACGTACAGTAAAATTTACTCACAAAAATCAATTATCTAAACAAACACACGCCACATGCTTAAAACATTGATCACTTTATTAGACTATATTAGGTATATGGGTTTTGCAATTAAACAATATAATACCTGGGTATTCCAAGGTTAGATTATATATAAATTTAGACTGTTTTTAATTATTTGTTTAATCGGTCTATTTTGGTAAAAGCTATTATGCAGATTGGTTGGTTGATAAATAGAACTAATGAGACGACTCGGACATACGCAAATATGTTAGTTACACACGATCATTGCAGATAAATAATAATAATAAAAATCAGAAAATATGAAAACGTTTTTGAGTAAATCTAATTTAAATAATTAACAATATATTAACAAGCGCGTATTTTATCTACAGCGGCTCTTTGTATATTATATATAAGAATACACGTACTGGATATCAAATCGGACTTGACGTGTCGGTAAAGAGTTGCGATAACCATGTTACTGTCGATCATAATCTGAATGAAATTATTTTTTTGACAATACATCTTATACGGAGCTAATGCAAAAACTCTTTAGACACTGGTTTTAACTTGCATTGTTTTATTATAATAAATACTTAAGTAGGTTCTTGAGAAGACATTCGAAAAACGTAGAATATTTTTAATCTATTTGATATTTGTTGAATTAGAAAATTGAATAATTTATAAAAAGATTATAGTTATAGGTACATTTTTTACACATACACAAGTATTAATAAAATTTGATCATTTTAACACGTGACGCCATAAACGTTTTTATCGTTAATCAGCTGTGGCGAAAGTGCCTACTTATTTTTCTCATTTTTTGATCATCGTCGTTATATTATTTATATTATATGTTTTGTAGTTTTTTGTCCGTTCGGTGGACTACATCTATGTGGCATACATATTATATATTAGTACAAGAAAAGCCTCGTGTAAAACATTTAGCAAATGTCTTCCTGTTAATTACTCTTGCCCTTTGCTGTGATCGACGCTGGTATCCTTGCACTATTGTCTGGTAACTACAGTTCGGCTACTTGAAGTGTTATATTTTATTTATATTGTTATTATTCTTAGTATAGGGTAGTCATTTTTACCAGTAATAGCCAATAGGGCAACATTGACACTTCGTGTCTGTGTCTGTTATTAGAACCAGCGCATTTAACATTGCATGTGGTTTATTATTAGCTATATAGTCTTGGTGTATGTATTGGTATTGTTATTTGTGGCCAAGGAAGTGTTTTTCTTTGGTTATTGTGTGATCTGTAACTCATACAACTAATTTTTTATACATATTTATATATCAAAGAACTTATATAATTGTTATTATTATTTGAAGCCGTTTGAGACTGTATATTGATTATTGTAATTCAAATAAGCTGGCTGCTATCTAAAAATTGTTATTATCATTGCCTTCTAAGGCATATATATATTATATAATTGTTTCTTGTTGAACCTTTTTTTTTGAGTCATTATTTTTGCTATATTTATTATTTTTTTTTTCGTATTATGAATTGAATATATTGCCAACCAAGCAGTTTGTTACTATTATTATTATTATAAGTCATTATTTGTAGTCATTAATAAAAAATTAAACTTGCAATTTGTTATAATACATAAACAAAATCTTTATTATTATACAGTCTACTTAATTATCCTATTTATTTAGTGTCAAAGATTGTACACTATTACTGTGTCCACTTTTAACGCAACAGTTGTATGTACATAATATATAATATATTGTTTTCTATTAGGTGAATAAAAAAAAAAAAAAATGATAAAATGTAGGTAAATTGTTAATTTTTTGGTGCAGGATCTATTTTTTCGTTTACCTGTCTACCCAATCATAGGGTTTCAAATACCTATAAGTATTGACTACTATTTGAGTTGTAATCCGAAGCTAAATTTCAAGCTGTTCAATCGTCTCTGAGCCGTAGCAAATTCAGCATTACACAATGTGTGTTACCACCTACGCAATTCACAAAGTTTGAGTTAATAAAAAATTAAATGGAAAATATATTTTTTATTAGTGTGTTTTAATGTTTTTTTCTTCAATAAATAAATATTTATGTTTGTATTGTCATATACATTATGTGTATTATAAACATATATCAAAATATGCACTCACTATTTAAATGCACCAAATTAAATACCACTATATTCATAAATATTTTAAAAATAAATACATATTGTGTTTAATTAAGTAGGTATAAATTAAACAATTAAACAATTAATTATTGAGTTTATAAACAATACTTAAATTTCAACTCGTTTATTATTATTTATTAAACTTTTTATTTACTCTAAAACATATTTATTTTATCATAATTACCCATGGCGCCTAATTAATACTGTTGACCCTAACAAGCAATTTGGTTCATTTTTTAAATTTATAAGTCTATGTTTGTGCATTTTAACTTAAAATACATAATTTATATTTCAGTTTTTTAATTCTTTGATGTTTAAATCCAACAATTCGATTTGCCTAAATCTGTATAAAAAGTATATAAAAACACTATACCATAAATACTCAAAGAATAAATGCATTAAATTCAACTGGTTGATATACGTATAGTGAACAAAAAATCTAGTTAATTATCTAGTATATCGGGTTGTATTATAAATTAATTCATCCTGCAAGCAGTGGAAGGGTTACATTACTCAATTGTTTGAGTCAGTTTCAAAGGTGTACGCAGGGGGGAGGGGGGCTAACTGGCTGAAGCCCTCCCTCCATGCCCATATTAATATTTTTGTTTTTAGATCTACTCACGATATAGTATCTCAAAACATGTATTTATCTATTTATTATAACCACGGACTAAGATATTATATACATCTTAGTCTGTAATTACAACTCCAATCCATAGATAGGTTCTATAATCTATGATAACATCTCAACTAATGTTACCAACAATCCTAACCTGGACCTGGTTATATTCTGTGCCTGGACTAAATAAAAAATTTATTTTATTGCCTATTATTTTGGTTTTTATATTTGTTGTTATTTTATTTTTTTCATATATTTTTTTAATTATTTTATGCTTAATTTTTAAGTAAGAAATAAAAAATCAACTATTTTATTTTTAAGTCAATGAGTCTATTACAACTTAATAATTATTTGTTTTAAAACTTCCTTCCTATATTGTAAAATCCTACGTACACCACTGGTTAGTCTTATTTGAGTTTAAAATATTTTACGAGTACCTACTTACTTACAATTAATTTCAAAAATTCTGTGAAACACAATTATTTTAAAGAATATATTAACATATATTTATGAGCTATAGCATAAAATCATGCCTGAAAAATTCACGGATAGCTATAGCGATATTAGTAATCAAATAAAATACATTAGTTTAAATATTTTAAACAACGTTTTGTAACGCAATTATGATTTAAAAACTCACGTCTACGAAAGTAAAATTTTTATTCATTGAAACCACGTATTTTTTTATTGTATTTTATCTTTAATAATTTTCAAAGAAAGTATATAATATATATACTTGCAACTATATCAATAAAATTGGTTTTAAATATAATATTAAAAAAAAAACTCATTTTATATTAAAAATTGAAAAAATATAAGTATGGCTATATTGTCATATGATATTTAAAAAGAGAAAATATTTAAATCAATATTGGTATAATTACAAATTCAATTAATTTAAGTGCATTTAAAATATCATTAGATTTTATGAGTTTTACTTAAAATTTTTAAAATCTTTTTTGATAACACTAGCGTGTTACGATGGTGTCATTATAATTAATTAACAATAATAAAGATCTGGATATGTTTACCAAATATTCAAAATTAAATTCATTAAAAAAAACTATGGGGACTGTCGTATATTTTATTTTATTTTAAAGGTGGGAATAATTTTGGCAAGTTAGATATTATTATTAAGGTAGGTCAAGCCTACGAAGCAAATGTGCTGAGGTGACATTAAATATTATTCTATATAACACCGCCACACATACAGAAATTAGCCAAATACATATATCGATTATGCAACAAAAATCAATAATAACCGAAACAGAAATAATATGAAAAAATTTGTCGTTCCTATATTGTAATCAATTTTTATTTTTTACTGTTAATATTTTTTTCAAAAAATAAAAAAATGATGTATAATGTTACATATCAATTTTACACACAATTATAATCCAAAAAGTAACCACGGACCTTATGACCGTCAACAGTCAATTTCTTATTTTAGATGAAAGGGAGAGGTGTAGTATTGTTCACACAAAAGTGGATCGCATCCCGATTATTACAAAATCATAAGTGAAAAGTGTAAGTATCAATTTATCATATACAACTATCTAAGCAGTTAATACGACTCATAGTTTTTGTATTTAAAAAAATGCACTTAAAACAGCTCAAACGAGGGGACGACTAATAAGTTTAATTTAGCAAAATTGTGTACTCCAAATTAGAAGCTATAGCAATGGGTATTTATAACTTAGCTATTATCATAATGAGGTATTATTTATTTAACTATAATATGTTTTCGTATAACTAATATTTTGGCATGTACCTACTACCTATACGTAACTATATTTTCGAATTAAAATTAATAACACTATTTAATATGTAGGTATTGAATTTGCACAAGTCATTAAAATCATTAAATGGTCTTTTACAAATTGTTATACGTTGTCGTGCATTAAAAAAAAAAAAAAACAACTATTTTTACTATACATAATGAGTTACGATGATATGATTACCTATGTATACATTCGTTTTAGGTACATATATATAACATATTTAGTAAAATATACTCACGAAAATCAATGATTAAACAAACACAATATACCACATGCTTAAAATATTTATCACTTAACTAGACTATGTATTATATAGGTTTCGCAGTTGAACAATATAGTACCTAGGTATTCCAAGGTTAGGTTATTAAATCTAGGCTGTTTTTTATAATTTATTTAGTTGGTCGGTTTTGGAAACAGTCATTATACAGGTTAATTGGTTGGTAAATAGAACTAATGAGACGATTCGGACATACGCAAATGGGTAAGTTACACACGATCATTGCAGATAAACAATAATAATAATAATAATAATAATCAGAAGATATGAAAACGTTTATGAGTAAATCTAATTTAAATAGTTAACAATATATCAACAAGCGTGCATTTTAGCTACAACGGTTCTTTGTATATATTATACTCACATTCTATACTTGGTACCGTACATTTTCGTTTTGGTAATAACATGAACGTCCTCACTGTAACAGTACTGTTTGTGTTCCAGTTGATCCATCAAGGTTTGTATAACTATTAGAATACGCGTACTGGATATCAAATCGGACTTGACATGTCGATAAAGAGTTGCGATATCCACGTTACTATCGATCACAATCTGAACGAAACTATTTTTTTGATAATACATACTATTGTATGAAGATAGAATAAAAAATCTTTAATACGTTGTTATATTAACCAAAGAAAACGTTTTGTGGTTTTTTTTTTTTTTTTTTTAAATTTTTTTTTTTTTTTTTTATTTTTTTTTTTTTTTTTTTTGTTATTATTATTATTCTCAAATTCTAGCTCAGTTTATATTATTTGATCGAAATGATAGCGATACTTGGAATGATATTATAGACGATGATCCCGAAAACGAAATTAAACTAAAGTTTGTCAATGGATCCGAATTGACTTTTTTCTATTGGAACTCGTACGTATAACACACACTTTTTCGTAGTTGTATTTTGTTGTACATATTAAAAAGTCAACAAAACCATCTGAAAAATATAATAAAACTTTAAAATTAAACACATTTATAAAGTACCCGTATTTTAGTTTCCGAATGAAACGAAAAATATTTCAAAATCTTATTTTTTCATTTATAGTTCTATAGTTTTGTTTGTTATGACATTTATAATATTATTTAAGTTCTTAGGTTTTTCAAATTACATATTGCTTAATTCTTATTTTATTAGTTATTATAGTTATTATACAAAGTTTCACTGGAAAATTTGTTAAAAAATGGGATAAGATACTCGTTTTAATTTTCATTGTTTTATTATAATAATAGGTACATAGGTACTCGATAAGGCACTGGAAAAATGTAAAATATTTTCAATCTAGTTGAAAGTTGTAAAATTTTAAAGTTATCTGATTAATACCATTATTATAATTATACGTACATTTTTTACACACATATTAACATAGTTTAATCATTTTAACTGGTTATGCTAACTATGATAAATTAATTTAATTTTAAAAACTGTACATCTCAAATGACATAACCTTTACACTATAAACCATTTAGTTCTTCAAATGAATTTTATTAAGACCAATTCGTTATTGCAATAATATAACAAGATATAATTTTTGGATTAGATATATTAAATAAATAATACATTATTAATTCTTATATACATTTTTTTTCGAAAAATATCATCTATCAATAAATTGTAAAATATTTAGTTTTGGATATAATAGGAGGTATTAACATTGTTTTATTTTTAAGTATATAATGTATTGATAAAAGATTATTTATTTATTCAAATAGTAATCTTGGAAATGATAAGCCAATAGATATTGCATTCGATAAAGTATCAAGTGTACTTGATTATTGGATTGACGGTCTCCCTTTAAAAGTTATTACACACGGATGGCTTGCGTCAGATGATGATTTCACTGGAGTGTTTTGCATTAAAACTGGTATGTCGTATGTTAAAACGAGCCTATACGCACGACTTATTATAATATCCCGATAGAGCCACAATATAAATGATAAAACACAATTAATCAAATTATGAATTGACTATGACTGTTAAGAGTATGACCAAGCAAACTAAAATACAAAACGTTATGCTTTACGTAACTACACATACTTAACCGATATAAACGCTTGCAATATGTTAACATTATGTTTAAGTAATATTATAGCTTATGTCGACACTGGTGGGTTCAACATTATCACGGTGGATTGGAGCCATATAGCAGAAGATATTATCTATAGCAGACCAGCTGTTTTGACCTTATCCGTGGGTTATGTGATTGCCGAATTTTTTGAAAATTTGGTCGCACACACAGGGACACATCCGTCGGACATACACTTATTAGGCCATAGTCTCGGTGCTCACGTCATGGGGTCTTGCGGTTATTATTTTAAATCAGGGAAAATTGGCAGGATCACCGGTGAGTAAACTGAATCTATACTATTAAATAATGATTTAGAAATTTGTTATTGCAACCAAATATTTGATCTCAATTATAAAATTGAAGTAAATATTATTCAACGTTTTCTGGTTATTAATTGTTTTAGTAAAAAAAAAAAAAAAACCCTATAACCATCGCTTTTATCAAATGTGAATATTTTGTAATTAGTTCTTCAAAATAAATTCAATATTAGTGAGTCAGTATAGAAATGAATAATATTATGTAAAAGCATTTTAAATTTTAATACCATGACTATACCATATGTATAGTGTATAAGTTACTTATTCTATACAAATTAAAATATATATTTCTAAATAAATGTTAATTTGAGTTTTTTAATTTACAAACGAAAAATATATATTTGATCCTTTACGTCAGTGTCTCTCAACTAGTGTGTCACGACACATTAATGCTTACTTGCTGTTTTTAATTGTACATTAATTATTAAAATCAAATATTACTCATTATTTATAATTTTTTTTAAATTTATGTCACAAAATATGAAATATTTTAATAGTGCGTCGCCATAATACAAAGATCAAGAAACATTGTTGTACATTACAACGTTTGATGATGATAATAGTTGTTTATTTTTTGGTTTTTAACGATTATTTTATTCGTGAAATATAATATTTTACACGTAGATCTAGACTGGTAGCAGCAAGTGTTCATTATTTATTATACCTATTCATTGTTACCATAAATTTAATACTTGTATTCATTTTTTCATACTATAGACACGTGTATTATCATAATGTATGTACAGGTACCGAATCGATGAATTAAGTTCAAATATACCGTGCATATAAAAGTAACTGTTTTTTATACCACTTTAATTTATAGGTCTGGATCCAGCCTGCCCGGGATTTCAGTTTATTCCTTTGCAAAAACAACACTTGAATAAAGACGATGGAAAATTTGTAGACGTGATACACACGTCTGCAGGGACTCTTGGTTATATGAATAGTTTGGGTCACGTCGATTTTTATCCAAACGGCGGAATAGCACCACAACCGGGATGTAGTATTTTAAAATTAAAACTCTGTAAGTGCATACATATAAACCAACTCTAAGGAACTAATTAGAGACGTTATAAACGAACAATAATTAATTTATTTAATCATATGCAGCATTACACTATCCACAATCGAAGAATAAAAACTAATATTGTTTAGTCAAAATAAAAATTATTAAATTGTATGTTGAGTAAAATAAATAATAAATTCCAGAAGTATTTATAATTATAAATAACAACAACTTATTTTACATCAATATTTATTTCTGTAATAGCCAAATTAATTTGAATTAAGTTGATATAAAAATATATTTATCAAATCCAAGAAATTATTACACCATAAAATATAATAATTTAATCTTATGCAAAATGGTTAATGTTAGGTATTTATACAAAATAAATCATATATAAACGCATTTATCTCTTAGATTTACATAACTGTGCACATGTAATGACATAAAATGTGTATGCATCACAATTCATGATACTTTTAAATGTCGACGAAATAACCGTAGATACACATAGATAACACCATGTCACCATAAAATACACTTTTCAATTTTTAAACTATTATTGAATTGATTACAGTAATTTGCAGTCATTCGAGAGCGTACGAACTCTATGCGGACTCTGTGTACAATAGAAAATCTTTAATCGCGACACAATGTAATTCGTGGTTAGACTTTATAACAAACAAGTGTGAAAACAACACTAAAATTATGATGGGACACGACGCAGAGGAAAATATTAAGTAAATATGCACCTTGATAACTGTCAGACAATCACTAATAATTTATTTTTAATATTTAACCTAATTCATCTAAAAAGTTTTTTTTGTGTGAGAATTTTAAACACACTTGTATATATTTATTTTTGACTATAAATAATATGATTGATACTGTCATTGATTATATAATAAATTTGTATTAATAATCAATGACACTATTTTTCACTGCGAAATGTTAAACATTTTAACACGATTGTTACCGAAAGGAAGTGAGGCATAATATGGCATAGTGTTTGGCCCCAAACATTAAATATTAAATAATACTACGGCCAAGCACCGTCCGACATTGCTAATCCTCGGATGGCTAACCACCCGCGTTCTTAATAACAAAGTTATGGCTCATGTACGGAAACACGTGTTCTAAAAACCCATAGTAACAAACATAAAAATAATCCTCCAAATAATGGCTTAATTTTTTGAAAAAAAATATTACGGAATGGCAATATTATATTACATACCTACTTATAATCTATTTTGTTTTATTAGAAAATAAAGAGTTTGAATAAAAATTTTAATTCTAAATAATTTGGATAAAATAATGTAATATATACATATAATAAATGTCAATCAGACGTAAAAATCGAAAAAATTACTTAATGACAGCTATTTAATGTTTTTTACTATGAAAAATCACTTTTAATACTTTAATTTTATATACTTTTTGTGTACCTGTTGTTGTCAATAAATCTAATTTTTAATGTTGTTATTTTTTAGTGCTCGGGGTGATTTCTACTTGAAGACAAGTCAATCGAAACCTTTTAGTATTTTATAAGATTATTTATACTTATATAACTGCATAATATATTATAAATAATTATTAACATTACACAGATACGTCCATAGTTTAAAATTTGTTATATTAATCACCTGTAGGTACAAGCAATAAATATATTATTTTTCTATTGCATGCACATATAGTAAAAATACAAAATAAATTTTATTCATATAATATAATGTATTTGTAATTGTAGTTCTTCAACTCAAAACAATTAATAAACGAAGTTTTGACCCTTAGATATTACAATATGCTCCACTAAGTTATTAATCATTGTCAAAGTTTGGATAGGACCTCATAGTAGACCTACATTCATTATTTGACTAGGTATTATTATCCCATATACAAAAATCATAAGGTACAACAAATTCACATTAAAAATAAATAAATACATCACTCAAGAAAACTTTTTACTTGTGACATAAAAACGCTTACTATTGTAAAGCGGTCATTCGGTCATAGCTATGATTAATTTAAGCGATTAAATTGTATTAATTATTTCTTATTAGACGTTGGTACTATTAGAATGTATAAATAGTTAGAAAATTGTGTTCATAAGTCGTAACATTAATAAGAGAGGCCTAAAGTAACTGTCTAGTTTTAAGAAGCTCTTATAATAACTTTGGAAAACGTGTAATTTATTTTCAATGAAATCTCTTTCCTCCCCTCTACGAATAAAATGTCTTTTGATTTATGCGATCCATCCTATACACTAGTTTCAAATGTAAAATATGTCTTGAGCAATATGTTATACATTAAAACGAAATATTTATGTGTACTACAAAAGTGCGCCTTGTGCAGATGTATAAGATAAGCAATCGCTCGTTCCGTTTAAAATCACACTCTGCAATTACAATGACGGTACGGATAAACATGCATATTATTTTAACAAGTATCAATCATATTTAACGATTATTAAAGATATATACCAGTGTTTTTAATAGATTATCAATTAAGACAAACAACCATCGAGCTAAAAATATTCAACATAAAAAAAATAATAAAAAATACATACATGAAGTGCACTTCGAAACATACTTATGCTAAAAATTAGAGCGACATAACGTATTAAGTACTAACAAATGAATATGCTGGTTAATTTTCTCCCATAAGATCCCATCGAGCTTAAAGAGTTAGGACGACACAAGTTTTGTTTTAAGTGAAACATTAAAAGCACTGACTGCGACCATAGTATAGATTTACGGTGTGACAAGCGCTATTGAACATATTTCCTTCGCCGCCGCCGTAGCAACTACCGTCACTGGTATAGATCAGTCGATTCTTGTACACTGACTGCAGCTAATCAGAGAATGTTTCGATCAATTTTTCGATTCATTAAATGTTTAATGAACGTTCCTGTTGATATCGAGTGCCAATATTTGAGTAAAACTTTATTGATTATAGTTTGTTATTACTTATTATTAAAATTAATTTAATTGTAATACTTTATGATTACTTATTATACGTATATCTAGATTTTAATAACAATGGCGTTATTATCTCATGATTTATGGTAAAAATAAATCCAAATATTTTAATTATTTTACGAAATTAATACGATTTGTATTGCTAATTGTATTTTAATTACTATTTACCCATAGTTTATGCGATTTGAAGTGAAATGATAAATTAAAAAAAAATTATACCTTGATGATTTACTCCGTTTAAATCCCTCGTCAAGTACGTAAATACTAAATATTACCTTGGCATTTCGAGATAATATGTTTTAGTTATATCAATTATCAGTATATCACAACATACAGGGGGTCCTGATTGAAGTAATCTTATTAATTTATGTACGTTATCAAAATGTATTGAAACCGTTCGAACGACTCATATGCTTAAACTAAATGTGATTTATAAATGATAATTCTATCGTCAGCCAGTTTAAAAAATAATTACAATAACACGTAATGTATAATAGTATATCGACTCTAGATTGACTCGACTGTACGAACGTATCGATTGCCATAACCGAAACGATTTGGATGATGAACGCGCGTTACAGTAATTATCTCGGATCATATGATTTTTAATGTATTGCAACTATTGTTTTAATATTAATATAATTTTCTCGACGATCAGCAACCATAATTGGATTGTTGATAAGCCAAAGACTCTGACACAACACTACAAAAATCAGACGCTACTCGTTTTCACAGTTCGTTATAGTAAATTTTTATCATAATATATTTACCTTTTTTTTTTTTTTTAAACTTCGTCGGTGCTACGAACACGAATAATATCATTAACATTAGTAGTATACTGTTATAATAATATTATCGTCTATTGCGCGTTAAACGGTCGTACCGAAAAAAGAAAATTAACCGAATGTTTCGTCGATCGCATCCCGCCTGAACTTCATATTATTATGCCGTACATCGGTATCGGTGTTGTTCTATATTGTTTCTAGTTCAGAAAATGCCACAGAACGATAATTGTCGTAATTATTATATTATCATCAATCGTTCTGCGCGTTGCGGCGATGTGTGAAATACACGCTACTAAACGTTACTCGTATACGTCGCAAACGTCACGCTAATGTGTCATACCGCGTAAAATCCGAATATGTGTCTACTGATTTCGCCGTAATGTGTTGCAATAATAATTAAAATTATAATAATAATAATAATAATAATGGAATAATTTATCGTTTGAATGTGTTTTATCCCATTGTTTTGTCGGTTAAGTTTGGCAAAACAGTGATACCGTAACACACACCGTCGAACCGTAATTATCGTACTACGCCGATGAGCGTGCGGGGCAAAAAGTTAAACAATTAATTTTTTTTTGTCGTAAAAAATTAACGTCGAAAACAATAATCATATGTTCGAAACGACGAAACCGACCAAGTGCAGAAATTCGGACTACGTAGAGCTATCGCTTTTTACGCGCGCAGACATAGATGGTATCGTATCGGGTTTTCAATCACCAAGTTGTAGTTATCGCCTCGTCAAATGCACCGAACGCTGCTGCTCAACATCACCACGGCGATCCTAGTGCTCGCAGTTCAACAGAATAACGGTAAATCGGTAAAAAAGACCAAAAAATAAATTCGTTATGGTGGTATAGTATGGTTTTATTGTCGTTCCGAAACATCGTAATCAATACACGTGGTCGTCACATTATTTACCTTTAACTTTTTTGATTTTGGTGGGGTATATATTATATTATTATGACAAAGTTATAGTGTCGTCATTTATGTTTTTAATAGAAGGAGGCATAAGATTTCACCAGTCCATAATAAGACTAAAAATCACGCTGACTAACTATAGGAATGTGTGCATAAATCCAATCACCACGTTATAAAGTTCGAAACTCTCATAATTTATAATGATTCAATAGTTGAATGGTAAATTAAATAGGAAAAATTACATCAAATCGTGTAATTTTAATTATTTTTATGCTTTTTGAATCAACTCCCTTCCTTTTTCACTTATATATACCTATTAATATTTGAGGCCACATAACATAACGAAAACAAGTAAATGGCCCATGCGAAACTATTATAAAAGAGTGTCAATGGTTGTTGTACTTCTATGCAATATTTAATTTCCAAAACCGTGTTTAAAAAATTATATCGAACAATTTATTAATATTGATACACCATTAGACACATTAAGTGTATTACATTGTCTACATTGTATTTATATATGGACGGTAATATTGCGTTCTATGAACTCATATAATTTTGGATTTAAAAAAAAACACTCTCATAATATAATTTTTATATTAAGATACAATTTGGTTGGTATGTTATGTGCTATATGAATTTCACCGTGTTTAAATTTGTATGGATGATGTTAGGATAAAAATAAATATGAATAAGTTTATTTGACCAATGTTCAATTATTGTTTTGAATTATCTGTCAACAATAAAAAGCTACCACGCAGTCAAAAAAAATTGATGCGTTATTTTCGTTTTCAAAAAAGTAGTGATTTTGGCTTTTTCCCCTTTTATTCATCGTGCACCATACATTTATACTCCTACAGTATAAATTATAGTATTCAGTGGTATTAAAAAAACTTTAAGGTCTATATTAAAATATTGTAAATTACATTTTCTTAGTATTTTATGTATGCATGTTTGCTCTAGCATGTTTCGTACGAAGTGTTATGCGTTTTGTACAAAAAGCAGTCATCAGATGGGATGGATTTGATCAAAAATACATACAAATGTTATCCGTCAACGATCAAAACGTGGATATTCAATACTGGAACTCGTATGTAACACTGCATCGTAATAATATTTATAATAGTATTAGTAATAATAGGTACTGAGCGAAACTCTTTCAAACAAACGCATGGCATCTTATACTCTATAGATAGATTATTTAATTACTTATTATGATAACATAATTGACCAATTTCAGCCACATTGAGTCTCAAAAATATTAATTTAGATATCAATTTTATTTACGACCGCAGTGTCAAAACAATCATTGTTATTATTATTAATTAAAGTATTTTAATTATTGATATACGTTTGATACAGTGGCAAAGTAAAGTAAAAAATAAAATATTGATTAGATTGTTATATCGAATAAGCTCGCTGAATGCTCTCTATATCAATATGTTTTAATGCAATTCTAATAAAGATTGAAGATAACAATTTTAGTAATAGTAAAAAATTGAAGGTTCGAATTTTTTGGTACGTAGAATAGGTAGATTAAGAGTTTTTTCGGTTCAGATAAATAAAATCTATATAATGTATGTAAATACACCATCATTAAACATAGAGTGTATTCATAAATAATGTTTATAATTTAAAATAAAACAAAATCAGAAGTTGAGCGATTTTAACTTGGACAGTATAAAATACCAAACATGAAATATTATAATATCAAATTGAAGCTGCAGGTAATTTATAGGGAGATGGTATTTGTGTCACATATAAATTTTAATTTTCGTAATATACCTGAAAATTTACCGATCAGTTATAGTTCATAAAATGTTAAATAAATTTTAAGTACAAAATTATATAGATTACACAATGCCCTCTTATCTAGGTAGTGTATATGTGGTGTAAATAGCGAAAATACAACAATAATATTATAGTATGAAAAAAATGTTTACATCAACTTGGAAGTTAAGATCAATTACGGTCTTTGATTTTAGGGATATTGGTAATCATGATTCGATAAAAATAAGATTCAATCACGAATATGAAATATTAGAACATTGGATTCCGGATTTGCCTTTGAAAGTGATCATACATGGATGGCTCGACTCTATCATACACGAGGATGGTGTGTTTTGTATCAAAACAGGTAAAATGTGTTATTATGAAAGAAAAAAAAATTTAACTATCGATATATACGGACACGCTGCACATTTAATATACTGATATTAATTTTTATTGTGCTGCATAAATGCATCATATCAATCTGGCTATGTGTTTAAACATGGCTGGCTCGATGCACTAATATAATATAATGCATGGGAAATAATACATAGATATTTGATATCTTTCAAACAGCTTATATAAATGTCGGAGGATATAACGTGATAACCGTGGATTGGGGTGGCATAGCGGGAAACCGGAATTACATGTTGCCGATGTTGATGACGTCAAAAATAGGTGCTAGACTATCCAAGGTGTTGGAAAATATCGTGAATCTCGGTATAATCAAACCAGAAAACATACATCTGATCGGTCACAGTCTCGGAGCCCATATCGCCGGCGTGTGTGGATCTCTGATGAAGTCAGGAAAAATCGGCCGGATTACGGGTGAGTAATAAGCGCAGGAATATGACTATTCAGTGGTTGATATTCGAATGAGAATTTAGAAAATAACGTCTCATCTTAGGTCTTGATCCAGCTGGACCGGGTTTTGAGTTTGCAAAATTGCAGAAAAAAGGGCTGAAAAAAACTGACGCCCAATTCGTGGACATTATCCATACATCCGGTGGTTCTACGGGAATTTATCACTCAGCAGGTCATGTAGACTTCTTTCCGAACGGCGGCACTGTGCCTCAATCGGGTTGCTACGATGGTATGCAAATCGAAAGGATAATTGGAGTTGGTGAGTATATGCATTGTCTTATAATGTTAAAATGATAATGTATTAGAAAGCTTAACGCAGTAAATACCGGAAGACAATTTTTAACTTATTGGTCATACAGAATTTTAGAATTATAAAATTTGTAATAACACATAACACCCGAATGTGAAATACCGAAATACGAATAATAATAGTACCAGTCAACGATTATGCTGTTTTGATTTCACCTGACAATTATCTTTTGCACGCAGTCGGTTGCAGCCACTCTAGGGCATACATGCTGTACGAAGACTCGGTGTACCATGCCAATTCTATGATGGGGGTCAAGTGTCGATCCTGGAGTGATTACGAAGAAGAAAAATGCGACAAAGACATCACAACGCCGATGGGACATGGCACTTCAACCAAGTTAGTGGAAACCACATTTACATAACATTTCATACATAAAAATATGTTTTTTCTTTGTCTCTTCTACCTGAAAAAATATTATACAGTTTTCAATAAAAGTTATATCAATAGGTATTAAATATAATACATAGAAAATACGCCAGTAATAACAATATTTTTAAATTTTTTTTATTTCGGGAACAGTAACAGTCGAGAAAAAGGTAGGTGTTCAGGAAAATTGGTTTCGGGTTTTCGGACCTTCTGGCAAAATACTATTCGGCAAAAAGTTCATTCGGGAATTTCGATTCGGGAAAAACGACGGGTACCGACTAATACATACATTTAATTTTGTACCCCGAAAATCAATTATTATTTTGCTTTTTAAAATAATTGCATTTGGTTATAGATTATATTATTATTATAGTTAGTAGAAATATGGCCAATAATATTTTGTACAAATATATTTAAAAAAAATACAAATCTTAAAATTAAATACTTATTAACATAATTACAATGGTTAGTTTTATGATTTTAAATCATGATATTCTTTCTTAATTCTGAACATATTTTTTATTTAAACACATAAGACCAATACCAACCTTAATGATATTGAATGTACGTTGGTTTTCAAGCATTCGTTGAATTTATCTCAAGTTTTCCGTGTCTACATAAAAAATATGTTGGTTATCATATTTTTCTTCGCCTAACTTCGGTCCATTCAGGGCCAGCGCTGCCATCAAAATCTCCCTCCATCTCACTTTCTTTCTCTCTCTCTATCCATGATATAATTTGTGCATAGTGTCATGTTTTGATCTATAGTTGATAAAACTTAGGAAACAATATCGATCCATTGGGTGTTTACCATATACTTGTACTATGATTAACCGATTTTAGTTAAAACTTTGAACATGTTTTATTATAGATTATTATTATAGTATTTAATATTTATAAAATAGGCCAAATTTATTATTAACTTAAGTTAATAAATATTTTAAAATTTGTATAATACATATAAGTACTAAGTACAATATATATTATCAATAAAAATTTCAAGTCTATATTAATATTTTTTTAAATTTTATTAAAATAATTAAAATAATTATTTTATCCTAAATATTTAATAAAGTTAAAGAAATGTCTATAAAAAGAAGTTTCATTCTGTTTTCAATATACATAAAAATGATGTATGTGGAATTTCATTTTAAATGTACTTGCTTATTAACCAAGCAAATAATTGTATTAATATTTATTGAAAAAAGCTAAAAAATAAAATTCTAATGCCTTTAAATAGCTTAAAATTAGTTTTTCATTGTGTATAGAAAATTAATATTGATAATTGAAATAATTCGTTATGTTTAAGTATATAAGATAACTTAAATAATAGCTATAGTGTAACAACGATAAGTTTGAAGTATACCATAAATATATAGTCTAAAATGTTCAGTTTTGAATATATTTAGTATATACTTTTATAAGTAATCAAATGATTAACATTTAACACAACACACGTATAATTTTTATTGTTTTATATTATTATCAGGGCGAGAGGTGATTTTTATTTAAGAACCAGAAGTACTGCTCCTTTTGATGCTCCAGAAACACCAAAAGAAGACCTCTAAAATTGTGTTCTCTTTATATTACTAACGACGTTAATTAACTGTGAACGAGCAATAAAGACATTTGGTTTCTCAACAATTAACAAAATTTATAATTTATAATTAGCACAAAGCATAAATTATCAGTATTTTAATGTAATGTTTCAAAGTGCCTAATATTTTAGTCGTGTTATAAATCGATTTAAATTATAGCTACTTGTATTATTATTTATAAATGTTGATATAAATTATTATGGACGTTATTTAAAGTAAATGATTTAAATTTCTGTTATTTTTGTTAAAAAATGTGCTGTAAATTTATATAAATTGTTAGTAAATTAGTGTACTTACAACGAAACATCGTTTGGTTTTTAATACATCCGGGATACTTAGCGCAATTTCATATTTTATTATTTCTACACTACGTGACCAGAACTTGTGATAATAGGTACGTATAATAAAATAAAACAAATAGTTTTGGGTCTATTGACCGACAACCAAAAATCCGACAATAATATATGTCATTGTTGGATCTCAACTTATATCTTCTATCAATTAAAATTGTGGACGTACGTTTTTTGCATTTAAATAAGACTTCTTTTTTTTCACAATTCCAATAAAAAGAATCATCTCTACTTTTATCTTTTACCATTAAATAACCTTTCATTACTAATTTTTCTCGGCCTTTTTGTGACAGGATAATTTCACAATATTTTTCTATTTTACCTATATTATAAAAATACGCACAGTGACTGCAAGGTATCTTCAATGGTTCAATTAAATGTACACAGTCGGAAAAAGGTAGCGCATCAATTGAGTGCTCATTCTCGCACAATAAAATATTTCAATTAGATAAAAAAATTATAATACAATAATGGCTTATTTATTTCCACCAATTAATAATTTAAATTTAATTATTAATTATTACATATATTGTTATCGGTATTTTGATTTTGTTACGGACCAAATAGTTGTCGGTCGATTGTCCATCTCCCAAAATAAATAGCCACACAAATAATTTTATATGGATCATTTTCATATACATTGGTATTTGAGAAAAGTTCTAGTAACTGGCACTTTTGACTAGTACTTCAGTGGTGCTGTAAATGTTATGAACGTGAAATCGTACAACAAAGTAAGTTTTTCACTCAATTTGAATACTCTTGAAATATTTTTAACGCTTTGTTATAATTAAATATTACAACAGTAAAAGGTGGTGTGAAAAAAAATTATAATACCACACCATAACTAATAATTAATTGTATATTGTAAAATATAACATTATGGTAAAAAAAAAAATCACTCTATACATTTTAAATAGTAATATTAAAACAATTTAAAACACAATTTCTTAGTAACACGTTTACAATGTGAATTTTTTTTGTATACATTGGTAATTGAAGCAACAAGAAGTTTGCAAACATTGCAAGGGAAATCAAATTAACTTTTTTTTTTTACTTCTTTAAAGTATTTACTATCTTTTTTGTAGAGACCAATAAGCAAACGTTAAAAGTGTAAAAATATATAAAAATTAAACTTTTGATTACACCTAATCCATTAGTGACACAGTCTACGTAATTTAACAATTATTTGTATATATTCTTACTTTAGTTTTTAATTTTATACTTATAATATTATTTTGTCCATTAAGAAAAAAATCATGACACCAGTTGTGTCACGATAAAGCTTTGTAGAAAATTTTTCGATGTAAAAAAAGGATGAAAGTATTTCAACACAAAGTTAAGTAGTTACTAATCATGAAATATTTTATAGAAAAATATAACTTTGTACTGGCATTACTTTTAGATCTTTATATAACGTATGATTATCATACGTATAAATATTGGGACTTTGAGAGACATAAGTTGATTTTTTGAGTTTAATATATTGAAAGTTTTGAATTTTTAACTCAAATGGATTGTAAAAGAGTTTTTAATTTAATAATTTTATCTTAAAATATCAAAAATACACAATATACATAAATAACAATATGTAATCGAATGGTTTATATTATTATGAGTTATGACCAAATACAATATAATAATAACTTGTGCTGAAAAATGACTCATGCATAAATAATAATTATAACCGATGCACATCAGAAAAAACATTGATGTGACAGATTTAGTATCTAAGAACTCGTTAATCCTATTTCAGATTTGGTTTCGAGTAAGATTTTATCGTTTGTTCAGCTTGTACCATATGACAGTTATTGTTAGCACGTAAGTACATAAAAAAAAGAAACACACGTACAACAGTTCAGGGTTAATATTACAATGATTGAATGCCATTTCGGTGAGGAATTTCACTGGGTTTTTGTAGTGGCAGTACTCATTGGAGCACGGTAAAACTCCCCTGGTGAAGCCGTACAGCGAGTACAAGAGACTCTGGAACGACGCCCTAACGAAACTAAAATGATGCAGCCACACATACATGACAGGTATGTCCGGTAACCGTATCGCAAACCCAAACACGGAGAGGAGCGCCAACGATACTGGTCCAACAAACACAGACACCTGAAACAGAAATTTACTAAGTAGATACTTGCATAAAACTCATTTTTTTCTGGTGTATTTATTGGCATTTGGCATCGCTTAACTTCAATTACGCAGTAGAATTAACGATTAAACCTTAAATTTTTTAAACGCCTGAAAGGGCCGTACATCATTATTTGCGCATCGTCTGTTTACCTGTGCCAAAATATCGTACATCATTTGCGCATCAGCGCTAATTATCGTTTGCGCATTGTCCGTTTTACCTTCACCAAATTATCATACATCAAATGCGCACCAACATGTTGAACAATAGAATTGTATAAAAAATAGTTTTTGATTGAAAATGTAATGATTTCCATAAATCATATGTAATAAATAAACTCATATAATTAAAATAAATTGAATTTCAGTCATAATAATTATACAAATACACATATTAAAATGAACACTTTTGTCGGCACATTACAGTCATAAAGTACAAATATAAATATAATTTGAATAAATTGAAAATAAATGCCATCGCTGCCTTCACAAAATCTCTCCATTTCTCTCTGTCATATGCGTCGTAAAATATATTTTAAAACAGAAATATCTGTACAATATTTGAAAGTTGATGAATGAATTTCAAGATCAAAGTTAGAAAATCACTAGCACTTTTGGGTATACACCTTTTTTAAAATTCTATAGTTCAATAATATTGATGCGCAAATGACGTAAGACCTTTTAAACGGCTAATGCGCAAATGATGTATAACCCAAAAATCGAATGATGCGCAAATGTCTTACAAAAAAGGTCAAAATTAACAATAGCGATGCGCAAATGACAACCGGCGGCCTGAAAGTGTAAACACTCAAGAGAAACGTCATCTGTCAAAGTTTAAAAAAAAATTATTATAACGATAATTATTAACTCATTTATATAGCGAAGTCTATGCAATATAGACTTTTATTAGCTTAACTCGAAACAAAAATGGTTTCACAAAAAAAGTCGTCGGCGTAAATTTTGAAATCCGACAGATTTTAACTGGGATAGGCATAGGCTGATTAAGTGATAACAATCAATTTTCGATCATAGTGTAAATATGTATATCGTAGAGCCAACCCCGTAGCCGGGAAAACAAACCTTCAACGGCATAGTTGTGCCGCACAAGAATCCTGCGCTTTGAGACGTCAGTGAAGTGGCCACTAGGAAAACGGCAAAGTAACTGAATCTCATGATTTCCAACGGTTGACCAGTGATTATGTACGCCGGTATGATGTAGACGAGACAACACGAAATCTGGGACGAAAAATAAAAACAAAACAGCAATTTTATATTTGGGAACCGACGAAGGAAGGATCTCGAAACGGCGACCAACCAAGTGTATACAGTGTTGACCATCGTGTTTTGCGAACTCACCTGAAGCGGTATTTCGATCAGCAATACGGATATCATGTACGGAAAAAGTGTATACCAACCATTGAAGTGTTCCCTCTTCAAGACTATGTACTCCAATGGGACTGGACACGTGATCATATCGGCAGTCAAGCAAATATAAGGTAGGATATATAAGTATATGAGTTCGCAGGCCGAAGGAATTCGTATAACTCAGGGCTCTTTAATAACTGTATATCATATACTCACAAGAAACGACGACCGCCATCAGACCGGTGTATGCCAAGAACAAATTCGTACCGAACACGAACTTCGTGTTGTTAAGCACTCGTGCTGCATCGTTGCCCACTCCGCGGTATAGGTAACTGACTGTGAGAGCTACAACGAGATGAACGACGAGCCGCAGCAGCGCGTTGGTCTGAAAACATTTCAAAAGACGCGTTATAATGGACGGTCGAGATTAACTGTTTGTTTTTCGCAACGTAATATCTCGGTTTTCTGACGTTTTAAAGATTTTGAGCTAGGCGAGGGATGCATTTTTGGTCTTGCGATAAGTTTTTTTCTCTCGTATTCGATGCCGTTTTCGAGTGAATTCGTTTCAAACACTTTACAGATATCATACGACGGTCAGGCAAACCATAACGTTTTGTGACGGAGACGTTACCTACCATTCCTACAAGCGGATTATCAAATACATAGATTTAATGAAATATATATATATATTATTAGGTTTGTTTCAACACCCTATAGGAATTTAATCACAAACAATATTATACGCACATTGAACTCAATATTATGTGTTACTATAAATTTTTGACTAGATTACATGGGTGATTTTAATCACTAGTCGCTGCCATCAAACCCTCTCGATTATGTAATTTTCATCTAGTCGTTTAGTCACCACGTGTTAGAATATTCGCTGCTCTCCAGCGAATAAAGTTGACGACCAACTTACTTTTGTCACTACTCGCTGACTATTCAACTCTCTGGCGAATTAAATCGCTCTGTGGTCTGTTTAATCTCCCTAGCTGAAGACATCGCTAGTGTGAAAGCGACTAGTGACTGGTCGAGATTACAAATTTAATAGCTCAATATAATCGGACAAGTCGCGTTACACGTTCAGTCTCGCACGATTTCATTCGTTGACGAGCAATGAGTAAATTCGTCAAATGTAATCGAGCCTTAAGGGTTTTAGTCACACTGAAAAATTTACCAGCACTCATTTTTTTTTTTTTTTTTTTTGAAGGACACAGTGTTTTATCTATTTTTCAATACAAAAATAAAAAATCAACATAACTCTATGAATTCAAATTGAATTTATATTTTGCTATCATATAATATAGGTACGTTTTAATTTAATTTAATGACTTAAAGAAGTTATGCAATTTTATTACAACATAAAAATTGATCATTAAAAATATAATTGAAAAAATGTCACAATATCCTCAGTGAACGGCAAAAATTAAATTTTTTATTCACAGTATACATTTTTTTTTTTTGCGTGAATGAGTAATAAAAACAATTCACAACGGTTAAACTATGGATTCATATAAATACGTATATTGTCACTAAAGTTTAATCTAATTAACCATTAATATTAATTTATGTACATTTAGATAACATAACATGAACAATCTGTACTAAGTTATTTGTATTCGTTTTAATACCTATAACATATAACTCAATAAATGTCTTATAGTATCATAATCTGTATACACAGTATAGTTAAAATTTTAAAATTGTATGACTAGTTATGGAAAATAACATATAATCAATAAATATATAAGTAGTTAGTAAATTTTTAAAAATAAAGTAAACACTTTGTTTTTGTGGCTATAAAATAAAACATTTAACATTGATATGCCTTTTTAAATTTTAACAGCTACGTATACCTCGCGAAATATCTAGGAATAATTTTACATGAAATTTTTACCGACTAAAAATCGTCAAATTTGCTAGAAATAATATATAAAATCGAATAATTTTAAGTATTTATGAGACTCATTTATAAAACTTATTTCGAAATTAGTAGTTTAGTTTATAAATTAATTGATACTTATCAAATGTAATATATATATAATACTTATGTTGTGAAATTATATTAAATGCCTATTTGTGTGGTGTCCTTAAAAACAAAACAACTTTTTATTGAATTTAGATACATAATATATGCAATAAAGACAGCTATGACTTTTGATTTATAACCTATCGTTGTATTGAAATCCGATAAAATTCACTTAATATGGGCAGTTAATAACGTTATATTATTATTATTTATATATTTATCTATTTATATCCAAAGACCGTAGATTGTACAAATAATTACATATATTATAATAATATAGATTAACTTCAGATTAATTAATATAAGAAATAGATATATTGAAAAATTTACAAAAAAAAATAAAATAAATGTACAGTTAATTATATTTTAAAAAGTTAAACATAAATTATGAAGTTTTAGATTTAGAATCATAATTGAAATAAAAAATATTATTACAGCACCGAAGCATTCGACTTTTAGGTTCATTATAACTGTAAGATAAGAAGTGAAATAGCTCATGAAAAGCATTTCTTGACCTGGTATAAAATGTGGGAATTGATCTACCTTTTTTTCGAGTATCTCTGTGAATATCATTGTTTAAAACATAAAAAATAAAAGATACATCATTATTAAGTTTACATTTGGAAAAAAAATGTGTGTAGATATAATTTTACTTATGCAAGTTTCTTCGTGTAGCAGTTCGTTTCAAACTTATAAGATAAATATCTTTAAAAATAAGAATAAACGTTATCTATAAGGCTTATATGATTAAGTTAAAATGGGTTAAATATTATGGACTCGCACTCTATATTTGAGCGTACAAGAAAGCAACATGAAGTTTTGAAATAATGAATATTTTTGATAACATAACAAATTTAGGTACTTACTTTGTTACGTCTGTACATGATTATATTTCGCCAAAATAAATGATAGATCTGGATATAAAACGGTGGCTTATTTAAAATTTCGGTTTTATATGGTAAAAATTTGTTATCGATATTGTTTTTCTGGCACGCGTCTAAAAAGCGAATAGATTTGTATGAAAATTATTATCATTGCACCTATTTTAGTAATATTCTATTCTATGTGATTGTGTTACAAAATGTTAATATCAAGGAACGCACCATTTTCAAGTGGTGCTTGGTGGTCTCCACCAAAAATTGTATAACACTTTTTTCGGTTATTTATGTACGTTATTCTTGTTGCATCAAACAATTTCATAAGTACATCAGTACCATATTCGCCTATGGCCACTTCGATAACTAAGAAAAAAATACACATATATACTTACAGGTTTTTTTTTTTTTTTAATCATAACATATACACTTGAAAAAAAAAAGTAAAAGAGTAATCATCATTTTATATGTTATTTTATCATAAAAAGTTATGAATTCAAAAGGTCAATTGAGGTTAAGATTTAAAACATATGTTTTCTTTAAAATATTAAATGTTCAATATAATATGTTATTATTATTAATATTAAGTTTCCAATAAATTATTAAATATACGAGTATATGAATACACCTGTGATATATACATAATATATGATTTTCAACTTTTTTTAATACATACCGATTTTAAATTGTATATTTATTATTTTCATAATTAATACAGTGAAACAGCTCATAGATAGTTTTTAGGGGGAAGTCTAAATAATTTTAAGTACAATTTTTATTTTTATTTGTTTATATGATTCATATACAATTTTTTTATGTTTAGTTTTTTAAAATGTGGGGGGATCCAGACTCCATGAATTCCCTTAGATACGTTCCTGGATCGAAAAAGTAATAATAATTAAAGTATTATACATAATATACTTACATAAGTCAGCTGGATTATGGTATGGTGGACATATGACGGAATGTTCTGCAAAGTAAGGAATAACTAATTTAGGTGGTCCTTGGTAAATGCACCGACCTGAGCTTAACACGTATACTTGGTCAAACTTTTCGAACAGTAAAGCACTAGGCTGGTGTAATGTACACACAATGGTACGATTTTCATTATGGGCTAAGTTGATCATCAATGATACCAAGTGACTGCAAGATTGACTATCCAAACCACTACGGTAAGATATTTACATTTAATATATTATTATAGTGCCATATCAATTATTATTATAAATAAGACGATCAAATTTAAGATGTATTTAGGTAGATTAGATTTTTGGATGTTTATATTAAAATGTAAAGGAACATCACAGTCATAATATGTCTTATGAACGTTCGATCTAACAAATTGTATGCAAATTTTACATTCAGCATCAGAACCTGCAATTTGGCGTTGTTAGAAATTTAGCATTAATATTATAGTAAAATGACCTATTACCAAACTAAATAGTATTAATATTATTTGTGTTTGTATGATATTTTAATTTCTGAACGCACTCATAAATATTTTTGTCACCTGTTCTATCGTGCTATATTAAATGCAACTTAGGTTTACATTACTGAAGTCTATACTAAATCACATGAGTTATCGGTCAAATGCGGTGTGTATTCCGGCGGCCATGCACCTCACCACAACTATATAAAGGCTGCCTCCACTGTAACCCGATTATTATTTACAAATCTAGCAAATTTTAAACGTTTACAGTGCTATATTATTTTTTTGATGCATTTTATTAATACTCGTGCTATAATAGTTATAACTTGAGTATTTTAAAATTTTAATATTTTACATAAGTACTCATAACTTGAAAAAAAATGTAAATAGGCAATAAAAACAACCATTGTACAAATACAAATAATGTTTTCAACTTAGAGATTTATAACAGATCAATTATTCATTCAAACAATGAAGTTAGCTCTACATAAAACTGTCTCTTCTGATTAAAATTTTACAATATATGCGTTTATAACACGAAAACTAAAACACGTGAATATTAAACACAGATATTAAATTTTATAAAAGAATATTATTGTAGTTCAAATAAAACAAAATTTTACTTAAATCATGTATCCTTATTACGTAAAAAGACTTAAATAAAACGTATAGCTTAATATCTTTTTAGTTTTTAAACAACTTTTTGGCATTCTTTGAAAAATGCTGAAAAAAAAAATAATACTATGCTTTGTAATGAGTACCTATCTAAATTACTGATCAAAAAGGCTTCTTGTCGGTTTGCTTATTGTATAAATATTTGCTTCAATCAAATTTCTTCATTTTAATCGTATCGAAAATAGTATAGACTGCCAATGTTTCTAATAATTTACTATATTAGTTCGATAAAAATCATCTATAACACTTTCGGTGAAAGTATTATCTGGTACTTACGTGGTGGGTTCGTCTAGGAACAATATTGAAGGGTTGGTTATGAGTTCTAAAGCGATGGACAGTTTCTTTTTCTGGCCTCCGGAGAGCCGTTTGGTGATAGTGTCTCCATGAACGGATAGGCCCAACGCGTCAAGCAGGACCTCCACTCGATCGGCTTTTGATATAGCCGATAAGGTTGTTGGTAACTTGAGGTGGGCAGCGACCGTCATCGACTCTCTGACAGTCAACAGGTCACGCACGTAATCGTCCTGCTGAATGTAGCAGCTTATGTTGGTCATTTGTTTTTCATCTCGTAACGAGCCGTTCAAATATACTTGGCCTGAACTTCCACTGATCCTGCAACGTATATTTAAACCATGTCAATGAAGCATACTCACAGTGTTTCGGAAATATAACGCCAAAATTTCGAAAAATGAAATTTTATTACGAAAACTTATATTTTATAATAAGAAAAAAAAATGTACATAATATATTATCTACTAACACTGCATGAGACATTAATTACTAAATCTCATGATAAAATAATTGTCATATTTTATTTGTAATAATATTGTAATTTAACATGTCTATTTCACACAAAACGAACTTGTTCTTTCCCCATCACTACTAAAATTACACAGGGTCTGTATTAGAACTTAAAAGTGATATAATATAGTACGATTGCCTTTTACAATTTTTCTACTTTATCGAAACATCACGCAGTTTAATCAATTATTCTTCATGATTACAATAACCGTGCATAACCTGCAGATTACAATGATTTCAACGTAATTTTAAAAGTCTGTAATTACACACCGCGGCATATGACTACATTTATAAAAACATTACTTATTAATGTACTTACGAGTATCCGGCGAGTACGTTGAGTAATGTGCTCTTGCCACAACCTGACGGTCCCATGATAGCTGTTAATTGTCCGGACCGAAAACAGCCATCGATACCGTGCAAGATCTCATTTTTCACTGAAGAATCGAAAACAATTTCCGATTATTGGTCATACGCTTGGGTAATTACGACTATTACTGAGGCTAATATAAGTAATCTTAAAATCAATATTGTCGTTCATATAATTTAATTATAAAAGTTTAATAATAAAAATAATTTTAGCATTATTATTATGTACAAAACACAGCAAATGATAATGTGTACATAATATATGTATTAGAAAGTATACTCATCAGAGTATAACACATACTTTTCACCTTTTTTTTAAATATCATTGTATGTTTTTCAATAATCAAAATTGTATCTGCCAAAATTTAAAATCACTAATTCCACAAATATTATACCTACTATGGTTAAATTATTATTGTATTAAAAAAAATGTTTTCGAAAACATTTGAAGACCATTAATTGTGTGTGTAATATGTACCTACTGCTTTACTGTACTAACAAGTCATTTTATATATACCTACAGTTTAACAAAAAAAATGTCACATTAACATACTCTAAAGCCATACGATTTAGTTTAAATGACTTAGGCTAAGAAAAGGGGCTATCTCGTTGGAGATAATACTACCTAAAACAGCTCAAACATGTTCATGTATAATAGATATTTAAGAACGATTATTATTATATTATTACTTATAATTTATCATATTTTATTTAACCACAATATATTATATTCATAAAGATCTTTGGTCGTTTAAATAAAGATGCCATAGGTAGTTGAAAAAAAAAAAATTTTTGTCATATAGTAAGATGATTGTTTTTTTTTGTACAATTATAAAAAAAGAAAGTTGCAATTTATCTACGAATTAAAATATTACCTGTCGAACCACGCATTATCGAATATAATATTCTGTGGTGTATTTATAAATTTGTTATGGCAATTATAATACATTTTAGATAATTTGATAAATTAATTAATACTTATGCTACAATAATATAATATCTTCCTGATTAATTAAATTATATTTTTAAAATAACAATAATTTATGATTAAAAATTAAAATATCTATCAACTACCAATTTAATTAAAATTAACTGAATTAGATATTCGACAATTAATATTAGTTATTAAGGTATGCTTAAAAATGACTAAAATAAGTTAATAAATTATGATAAGTATGTATTTTTTTATAATAATGTTATCAAATAATATTAATTAATAAAATTTAAAATAATATATTGATTGAAAATATTTTGTTGTCAGTTTATTCAAAGTAAAAATTAGTTATTAAAAAAATATTGTTGAATTTTTTTAACAAATAAAAAAGTAAAAATATTATACACCTTTAGAAGATACACAACTTTATTACTTAAGTAATTATAGTCTTCTCTCAAAAAGTGTAAAAATGTAAAACAAATAATAACAATAACTTATATACAGAATGTATATCTTATGTCGTTGTACGCGGGTTTTTTTAACAGCTATGGATCGATAACATGGAATTAAAAAAGAAAAGAAAAAAGACGTGTTTCTTTATTTTAAACCACCAATTTTTTTATAACAATTTTAAAATTTTTAAGCAAGCAGTTCTACTAACATCAAAGTTAACTTTTTTTTTCAAATGATAACAACTATATTTTTTAATGGATTCTTATAAAAATATAAAGCTTTAAAAAAAAATTTTTTTTTTTTATTATCTTTTAATGTAGTTCTATACCTATTTATAAAGCTAAATCGAAAATCTTATCAGACACAAAAAACTTGGGAAATAGATTATCTAATGAACATTATTTTCTATTTGAAAAAAAATGTATTTATTAATTTTAAAACTATCACTATTACATACATTTCCGTATAAGAATTAATTACATATTTTAAATAAGTAAATATGTTTAATCAATTTTTTTACTTGGATGTAAAACATTAAACTATATAGCAGTTTTGGCAAGACATTTGGTAGAACCATATTCACTTGTTCCTCAATCGAATGCATTATAACTCGCACAATAAAATGTTTATTGAACTAAACTTCTTTATAAAAACGCCTTTATCGAATTAAAACTTATACTGATTTGTAATATAAATATATTTGTACATTTGCAAACAATCAAAATAAAGTTGAATAACTGAAATCTTTAAATAATCATGATTTTAAATAAACCACTTGCAATCATTTATAAAAATAATTAATGTATCAATTATATGTATCTGTATACTGTATCATGTGTTAATTAAAGATTTCCAATATTAATATAATAATAATTGAATACTATTATAATACTTATCTGCATAAATAATTATTCAAATTTAAATTATTTTAAATAAACAAAATAATTATTTAGAAAAAATCTAAATTAATCGATTTATAATGATTATACAACAATAGTAAGTATATGAACTTGTTTATTTTATAATTGTATGTTAAAATACGTTCAACAGTTTTGTAGGCTATTATACCAGAAAATATTTATTTTTTTATGCGTGTAAGATAAGATATTCGATTTAAGTTCATAAAAAGCTGTAGAACTGCATTAAAAGATGATTAAAAGAAATTTTTTTAGCTCTAGAAATACATTTCATTTGAATCAATTTATTTAAGTTTAGGGTCCCCGTAGTAAATAAACCAGTGAACCAAAATGTATGATTTTAACATCAATTTTTTTTTTTTTTTTTTAAGCTTTATAAGAATCCATTAAAAAATATAGTTGTTAATATTTGAAAAAAAACTTGATTTTGATGTTGTTTAAAAATTTTAAAATTGTTATAAAAAAATTGGTGGTTTAAAATAAAGAAACACGTATTTTTTCTTTTCTTTTTTAATTTCATGTTATCGATCCATAGCCGTTAAAAAACCCCGCGTACGACATAAGATACACAGCTGTGTATATATATTTATATATATTATATACGATATCGGATATATACCTAAATTATTTTATCAAATATTGATATTATCGTGAAATACATGTAAGTATGTATTTCATACAGGGACTAAGTTTAATCTTATTTTAAAAATTAACGATAATTTAAAATGACGTATTCGTATGTAGGGGTTTAATAATCAATAAACCTTGAATATGTTTATATTTTGAAATTTTATTTTTATGAATGCATATACAATTTTTAGTCTACGGCGTAGACTTTATGCATTACCTACTTATAAAAATAATAATAAATTGTAAAAATATATCTTCACTAATAGGTAAATTATTTTAAATATTATTCATTCAACACTTATTTTTTCAAATCAGTAAACAATAAAGATTAGCTTAAGAATTCAAAGAAAAGGACAAACTTCCAGAATATATCTCGATTTCATTCAACAACACCAAAGATTCAATAGACTCAATAATCGTTTTCATTACTATCTCAAATTTAATCAATAAATTGTAATTTTACGTTGTACATTAATATATTGTAAATACTTTTAAAATTCCCAATGGCCTTTGTTGTCAAGGATTTATAATCAAAAAAAAAAAAAAAAAAAAAAATAATAATAATAAAATTCAGTTAATTGGCTAAGTATTATGTAATTTTTCAAGTAGGTACCATATTAAAGTTTATTCATAATTGAATAATATTTATTATTAAGATTTATATCAATACAATATTTCCATTAAAAAATATTGATTATTCAACAAGAACCCTATCATAAATTATTTATGAAAAGACAATAAGTTATAGCTATTTTCAAAGGTGTATAATATTATAGATGTATAGAATCTATAAATATTTTATTTTTTTTTTTTTTAGTTAATATCAACTCATCCGAAACGTGTATTATAAATATTATAATATTCTATAACTAATAAAGAATTGTATTTATTAACGTTTTTAGAATAGTAAGCAATATTATTATTGTTTTTATATCCATAACACGAATAGTAAATTATGAACCATAGAATGACTGCAGCTATTTTTTCTTCTCTTTTATGATCAATTTTTATTTTACATTTTTGATGGTCTTAGGGGTGAACTGGTCAGATATTAGGGTTTGGTAGTTCATAGAGGCGTCTTAATATAATATGGACCGCCTGTGATAGATGTCGAACATTTGACAATTTTACTAATAAAATTATTTTAAATACGAAACAATTGTTATTAAAATAAGTAAACAACTATTGAATCAATAAGAATAATTAAAACAATAAGCTCATGGTCAAACCATTAAGCTTATAGCAATATGAAATATACCAACCTAATTAAAAAAATAATTACAAGGAACCTCTTATTAAACTTCCAACTATTAAATATGAAAATTAAACATTTTATAAATTTATAACTACAAATAATTTTTAAATTAATGTTTCAAGTTTTTAAAATCAATAATTTTTTAATAATAACTAAATAACGAAAATCAGTTAAGAAAAAATCGTTATTAATACATTTGAACGTCTGAAACGACAAAACGCCATCAACATTTGAACTTCAATTATCCATAAGAAATTACTAATTTCGTGCAATAAAATGATTTTCAAAAATATTCATCATTTTGAAGAGTGTCTTAAAAAATTAAGCTTTGAATATTAAAAAAAAAAAATTGTATCTACATATTTTTTGAAAAAAACTTACGAAGTACTTAGTATTACAGTTTTAAGATTTACTTATTTTTTTTTTAATATATATAATTCAAAAATAACTAAAAATTAATCCATAATTTAAAACATATATATAAATAACTAAATAAAATCTAAAAACAAATTTTTAATTTTAATTTATTCAGTAATAGCTTATATTATGACTATTTCATGAAAGTATTACATAACTTAAAAATTGTAAATTGTTCTTTATCTCTATATCCTATGTAATTATAATGATGTTTTAAATCAATTGTTGACCTTTTTATTTTTCAAAAATTATGTTAAAAATGTTAACATACACCTACATATTATTTAAATACGACCTCGATTAAACACTAAGCCTTGAAAAATATTTTGTGGTATTTAATTTTAACCACATTAGGTATATTTTTCCAGTAAAATAATAAAATCTATATTTTGTCATTTACAACATTTTAATATCGTTGGCTTCTTACTTAATACATACAAAATAATTAAAAATGTATGTTACAGTTATTTTATCGTAAATATAAAATATTCATAATAAAGATAAAAATATTTTAACACGAACGTTATTTTATTTAGAAATATTTAAAATGATCAGTTTTTCTGTTTACAATATTTGTGTGTGTGTGTGTATGTTAATGTTGCATAATATAACATAAATAGCAGTAATAAATGGCGCGTCACGAAAAATAACAGTTGCCAGCGCTAACCTTTTTTTAGCTTTCTGTAGGTGTTCACAGTATAGGTGAGACTTTCGAACGACAAGTGGACTTCAGGCTTTTTCGAGAATGATTGTAGTTCGGTGGTTGATTTGTCTTCGTTGTTATTTTCAGTCCGGCGGCATTTGGCACGATTGAACATTCCGGTAAGACTCGAGAAAGATCAAATGAACGAAGAGTGAGAGAAAAGGGGGAGAGTTAGATCGAGAAAAAGAGACGGAGGAAGCGTCAAGATCTACAAGAATCGCTACAACATCATACCACCGGCACAGTTAAGGCCGATTAATTTGTGAAGACGATATGACGATATTATTTCAGGAATACGACTAACCTAACCTAACCTCACAAGTCGAGCCGGCGTCCAAATATTATATAATATTAAGCTGGACTTGTATAGGTGAGCAGGTAGGTAGATGCACGCGTAATTATATTAATTATATTGCCACAGAACGAAATGTGGAAAAAAATCGATTTCTGTCAACAAAAAAATATACTACCGAACACGCGTGTTATATTATATTATTATTCGGTCGATGTGCGCAATACATATTATTCCGCGGTGGTGGAAAGTCGCTGGGAGAAAACGAATTTTCTGTTAAAAAAAAAAAAAAACGCAAACGCGATGAGCGACCGCCCCCGCCGTCACCATTGAACTGTCCATCATATAGGTAGAGTTCGTTCGGTGTCGATCGCGTATTATAATATTATACGTATTATACTGCTCTACAACGATGTTATCGCACATTTATATCAATATTGTTACACTGCTCGTACAAGCCGCACATCACGTCCGCGCCACGACACGCTCGTTATATGATGACAACGACGGCCCAATCGATAATTATAATAATAATTGAACACAATGCACGTGGTTAAAATAATAATAATTACCATTATTGTCAATTTATTATTTTTAGTGATTCCGTGGAGACTAGACTTTGTCACCGAAGGTTAGAATTAAATTGAACTAAAATAAAATCGCCGTCATACTAATTTCCAAAATAAATTTCACTTTTTTTTCGAACCAACCGTAGTAGGTATCTATCTAACTATCGGTGATTATGTAGTAGTTATACTGCATACTACATAATTTACTCTTGTACTTTTATCGCTTATATACAATTGCCATTTTTTATACTAGCAGAACAAATAACATATCCGACGCATCTATAGTAATATCATTGATTATAAAATAGACTGCAATCAATGGTAATTCCTAAATAAATTTACTTACATATATATATATTATAGTGTATTTAGGTTTTACAAAACCAAATGAAATAAAAATTATTAGGAATTTTTTGTTCAATACTACGTAACCGATCCTAACAGCAGTTATTTTGAATATAATCATAAATAAAATGATATTTCGCATGTTAAAATAATTGATCAATGATAAAAACAATAAAATGAAAAATCTAATTTATTGCGTTCTAAGCGTTTCAAACTCGATGTCGATTATTCAAGATTTGAGTTTTTGGCACTCCGACACGTCCTGATTACAACTGCTTTAACATACTACTATTCAAAAACTCTTAAATTGTCATTAGTTCTGTATATTTTACAAATTTAATTTTATAATCTACGAGTTACTGTTAATATATGTATTATTATTATATAACTTACTATAGTCGACAGCCGTTATCAAATGCGAGTTATGCATAATTTGATAACATTTGTATATTATGCTGCTTAATAACTTAATTAAAAGCACTATTGATCATATTACCTATATAATACAATATATTGATATAAATAATATAAGAGCCAAAAAAAAAAAAAATGTTCACTTCGCATAATTCAAAACAAAGCTCCTAAATACTTAGAATATTTTTTCCAAATATTTCTTCAAAAGTTTTTGAATACTTTTACTCAAGTGCTTTTCAAAACTGAACTACTTTGCTTTCTTACTATATGCACACAATATCTGTCATTTTTTTTATCCTAGACATCGCCGTGCTATAGATATACTTACTGATCAACGGGATCATATCTGCAGGTATTGATGTGTTTATAGTCACCGAGTCATCCACACCCTTATTTACGTGCGAAGTATCGGCCGGTGCAGCAGGTGAATATTACTTATCGAAGAATAAAATATACTGAGCCAAAGATAATGCAGTCGATCGAATGCCCATCACCAATTACACTCACATTGTAGTCATTGGGAATAATTTATATTTATACATTATACGATGTACATTTGTTATCAAATCAGTGGAAAAACATCATAGGATTATTGAAGCTGTTCGACGAGCGAAATTCCGGTCAGGTACTCAGTCACTCGCGTGATAGAGTGCTAAACGTAATATTTCATGTAAATGTATTCAAATAATGTAATGTACAAAATATATGAGTACATCAGCACATAGTAATGAAACTGCAACATAATAACTGGTAAACATACCAAAATCAAGTATAAGTTATAATTTTTAACACAATAATAAATGTTTAGTTCCTTAACATTATTTAAGAATACTGAAAATATATCTATGTATAATTTTTGTTATAGCCATTTGAGTTCATGTTTGATTAAAATCGGATACATATAAAAAATATTTTTTTCTGTATTGGTTTTAGTTAATCTTTTGCACTTATCTAATTCAAAAACTATTAAAGATGACTTTAAAGTTCAACCTTTGTACAATTATGTTAATTATTATTTTAATATTTTTATCTATAATAATAATTAATTCTCAAAATATTTAGATTAATTAAATAATATAATAATATGGATGAATGTAGAGTAAATTAACATTCTCGGGCGCATCATATAACACAAAACTACAGGCAAGTGTCAACATATCATATTACTATTTGAAATAGTAAAACCACTGCGAGACGTTTAATAATTATACGACTATTTAAAGTGACTATCATAACCAAATAAGCTTGAAATTTCAATATTTTTTTAATCTTTGAATTTTCATTTTATTTTTATTTTATTAAAATTGCTTACATAATACTCCGTAAAAATTGTTACAGTTATTACAATTATTATACTATTCTCATGTGTTGTGTAATTATGTAAAACGTTATAATTTATAAATATGAAATAAAACTTAAGAAAATAAAGGCAGTTAAGTTTTTTAGACATTAAATAAACATTTGAACAAGATAATATGAAATCAAAAAAATGTAAGCAAGTAGTTACAGCTCTACTGAGGCACATAATATATCAAGTAAAAATATCAAATATTTCATAAAAAAAAAAAAAAAATTGTAAACATTTAAAACGTTGTGTTACGAATACCAAGTTTCTTCGATTATTTAAATAAATACAGCCTCAGAAAAAAATTCTATTACTATATCCGCATTGCGATGTGTAGGTACACGTACGATTAGTGTATAGCTTATTTATTTACACAAATAATAATTCGAAAATAAAATATCAGCCGTCAATCATACATGTAGCTCATACGTTTCGAAAACAGTCAAAACTGAAGGTTTCTGTCTTCAAGTGTCTTTTTTTTCGAAATAATAACCTATTACAACATTATACACGTGGCCCACTACAAACCTCTTAATATTTGGGCGTGGTCTCTGAAGCGAGGACTTGACATGCGTTGAAATATTATAATAATATTAAAATTACCATGAGGTATTGTCATTCCATCATTCCATCAATCCATCAAAGCATTACTATAGTAACTCTACCATCATTTCTTACGAAAAACGCGTGATTTTTTTTTCTGATTTTTACGATTAAAAGTTACGCTATCAACAAAATCATCAAACGTACGTGTCATCGTGATGATAGGTAGATATATATAGAAATTTAAGATTTGACTTGAAATATGTTTTTTGTTATGTTCAATTTCGGTTTGTGTTAAATTTCAAAATCTAGCTGAATTTATATGGTAAACGTCCCGCTAGTGTTCTCCAAATAATCCAAAATGTTATAACATAATAACCTAAAAGTAACCACTTTTCGCTTAACAGATGAAATATCGATACGAGTTGAGACATTAACAAAATGCTTAAACATTAAAATGTAATAATATCATATATTACAAAAATAGATAGCGAGTAAAAAAAACATTACAATATTATTATATAGCATATCAAACGGTATTGAAAAACTTAACGTATTTGTGACAAACAAATCAAAAAAAAATTGCCATAAGTATGTTCCTAAATAAAACATTTTTATGAGAAAACAAAAAAAAAACAATTTTCTATAGGAACTTGATTACAAGATAAATGTGTTCTTCTATATAACATACATAGAGCAACGTCGTTCAAACGAACATAATATATCACGAGTAAACAATATTAACTTCACATATTATCAGTTATCACAATAATTTTTCTTTGTATTGTTTATTACAATAAAAATCATATCAATAGTAAACTCTTATGTAACATAATGTTATATACACATATTCTGTAATTTATAAAATATTTTTACACACAAATAACATTAGCATATTAGTAATCATCATACACTATACAATATATTATTGCGCATCCAAAATAAAATATTTTGCCACGTAATTTAAAATTATGACTTAATGCTCATCAATCCTATTACAGGTTTTGAGTTAGATTTACCGTTTGTTCAACCTGTACCATATGATTGTAGTCGTCAGTATGTAAGTACACAGAAAAAAGAAGCATATGTAGAAAAATTCGGGATAAATGTTCACTTGAGCGAATTCCATTTCGGTGAGAAACTTTATTGGGTTCTTATAATGACAGTACATTTCGTCAGAGCATGGTAGGACGTCTCTGCCGAAGCCGTACAACGTATACACGAGACTCTGGAACGACCCTCGTACAAAACTGAAATAGTGAAGCCACACATAAATGGCGGGAATGTCCGTAAATCGTATTGCGAAACCGAACACAGACAAGAGTACCACGAACACTGGTCCGACGAATACAGACACCTGAAACAAAGATTCGTTTTTTTCACACACGTTTTCCATACATGACTAAATTTTTTAACAATCGCTAATTATTTGTTTCTCGTTATAATTTTTGATAACTACATTATGCAGTATAATCAAAAAAAAAAAAAAAAATTAAATTTTGAAACATATTAACTATTAAGTATTGAAAGTAAATAGATAATATAGTATATGAAACTATATCGTGATGAAAATTGTTGATAATATATAGTTTATACCAAGATATTACAATTTTTACTATAATATTGACTATGTAAATAAGTACCTCTCTTCGTAATACAAAGAGATTGATTTAAATAATGTTTTTTAATCTCACTTAATTTGATTAATTGTTTAAACAAGTCTTAGGAATAACTTTGAAGTATTTCGATTAAAAAATGATGAATGACTAGTATTTATCAACAAAGTGAATAGAAATAATATAACAAAATTTACCTTAACTGGCAAAGTAGCGCCACACAAGAAACCAGTACTTTGCGACGTCAAAGATGTAACCACCAAAAAAATAGTGAAGTAACTAAATCGCATCAATTCCAGTGGTTGGTTTGTCATGACATACGATGGCAAAATATAAACGAGACAACATAGTATCTAAAAGCAAAAAAAAAAATTAATATTAAAATCGATGACACTACGCACGTTTAGATGTCTGTTTATTTTTGAAAAGACCATAACGCCTTAGACAAATAATTGGACATTACATACTATTTAACGTGAATACTGCTTTATAGAATCAATCGTTTATTGGGATAAAAATATAAAACCCTAAACCAAATTTTAAGCTAATATGGAAAATATAAAACTCGACGCTCAAGTACAATTTATTACCACTATTAAAAGTTATTTATTTTTATTGGTTTAATTTTTTTTTTTGTGTGTTTTTAACATTATGCAAAAAAATAGGTAATTAACAAAACATGACTTATGAATTCATAGGTTAGTAAAATCCATCAAACATAATTCACTGACTTCATTGTATTTTGTGACCTCACCTGAAACGGTATTTCAACCAGCAATATGGAAACCATGTACGGGAAAAGTGTAAACCAACTATTAAAGTGTTCCCGCTTCAAGACCTTGTACTCTAATGGAACTGGATAGACAATAATAATGGTTTTTTTAAACATTAATACATTCATACAACAAAGATAATTGCTATTATTTAAAGTACTATACCTACTAATAGAATATACTCACAAGATACGATAACGGCCATCTGGCCGGTGTAAACCAAAAACAAATTTGTACCGTATATGAACACCATATTGCTGATCACTACCGATGCGTCGTCGCCAACACCACGGTATAAGTATCCAAAAATAAGAGCAATGGCGAAATGTGCAATGATCCGCAGCATAAGGTTTGTCTGAAAATTTTTAAAATATATACTTTAAATTAAATAAAGTTGATGTACATTATTTTTCAATAATAACTCTGAAAATTAATTTTTCGTGAAAGTGAAGTTAACACTACATTGGTAGTATACGATTACTTACACTAAATACTACTATAGCAAACATATTTGGTACACGATAGACACTGAAATAAAGTTGATAGAGTACTTCATTAACTTTAACTTCACAACTGTTAGACTAAAACTCGATATTACGGTGAATGGTTTTAAAAAACTTCAAGGTAAGTTTTATTAGAATACATTGGTACCACAGGCCTATAATTCGGCAAGTAATGACTAGTGACTGGGTTTATATGTACCAGAAATCTTCAAAATATACTTCTAAAAATACTATAATGTGCTACAAAATATGTATTTTTTATTAAATATGTATTAAAAATTGAATCGAAAATATTTTATTTAAAATTATGTGAAAAATAAGTATTAAAAAAGATATAAAAGTTTTCGTCATTTTCGCTATTTAACACTTTTTATCTCGACCTATTAAATATTTGCCCACATTAATAAAAAAAAAGTGAAAAAAAAATTGATTTATATCAATTTAATATATGTTGCATATGAGTTTGTCATCTTATCTTTGGCAATAATGGTCAATCGTATTTATATCGATAATAGGTATGTGGCTGTGAATGTGAAAATACAACGAAAACAAATATGTGTGCTATAAATAATAATATACACTATAAAACTAAAAAAATGCATTTAATAGATAAAACGTTAAAATATACAAAATACAATTAGGTAGTATTATTTTAATAAGAATAATCTAAATCGGAAACAATTTTCATCAGATTTTAAAAAGCTTTGTATTTCAATACATATATGCATTTGTATATAAATCCGGTCTCTAGTAACGACCAACAAATTCTAACAATGTCCAACACGTACGCTATCAATACGAGTGTAATGTCTACATCCGGGAAATGCTTTTTTATCGGAATTATATTATCTACATGCTATATTTATACCGCACAATTGTATAAATATTATATATTGTTTAAATGAATGTAACCATGTAATTTATATAAAATTGGTATTGGACATTGGCTATATTTTACTCACTTTGTTACGTTTGTACATAATGACATTTCGTAAGTACAAATGATAAGCCTGTAAATAATATGGAGGTTTGTTTAAGATCTTGGTTTTAAATGGTTGTTTCTTGTCAATATTATTATTGTTTTTCAAGCATGTACCTACAAAATGAATACATTTCTTATTAATTTCAAATCACCACCATCATCTATGATTTTTAAATATACATTACACGATATAAAGGAAACGCACCATGTTTTAGTTGTAATTCTTGATCACTGGAAATTAAATTACAATTATTGTGTCCGTTAATATATGGGATTTTCGTTGTATCAACCAGTTTGACCAGTACATCAGTACCATACTCTCCTATTGCCACTTCGATCACTAATAAATAAACAAAAAAATATAATAATACACAATATAAATAAATTTAAAATACAAATATCAATAGTTCAAATGACTAAATTAATCTTAAAACTGTTTTATACCATAATAAATAAAATAAAATATAATTAAATAAATATTATAAAATTAACTTTAACTTTGGATGTGTGATAATTATCTAAACTAATATATTCCTAACTCATTCAACATAGAAATTATAGTCTAATAATATCTTATAGCGGTCTTCAATCAACACAAATTACTAACTTATAAATTTAAAAATAATACAAGATAAACATATTATTAATAAATTAAAAAATACACTTCTCGAAAAACATAATTCTTCAAATAGTATAATTGAATAAATTGAAAAAATTGTTCAAGCCATCAATTTAATTTGAAATTGATTTTAAATTACCAGGGATGATCAATCATTTTTTTAATAAAACTGCTTAACATGAATTTTTGCAAAGTCCTTTAAGAAAAATAACATAATATTTTTATATACTTACAGAAGTCTGCCGGATTGTGATATGGTGGACATACGATGGTCTGTTCAGCGAAATAAGGAATCACTAAGTTAGGAGATCCTTGGTAGATACATTGACCTGAGGACAACGCATAAATTTGGTCGAACTTTTCAAACAGTAAAGCACTAGGCTGATGCAGTGTGCACACCATGGTACGACTTTGATTGTGCGCTAGATCGGCCATCAATGATACGAACTGGCTGCAAGATTGGCTGTCCAAACCACTATGAAAATATTTTTAGATTTAGTTCAAATCGCATCATAATAAAAATTAAATTGTATAAATGTCATCATTAATATTTTTATTAAAGGGTTATTTAAAATGATTCATTCAATTCAAGATAGCTGTAAAATGATTAAATATAAATTTTATCTTATCAAGTTATGTAGAAATTAATAGAACGTAATCCCAAGTTTTACAATGTTATAAATTCATTATTTTTAAATTATCTCTTAAGGCAATAATATGTTAGTTTCCGCAAATATGTCGAGCGGACAATGCAAAGTGTTTTGTGTGTTGCGATTTTCGAAGTGGAATCGATAATATAACTGTGCAACGCGATTTTCGTAGTCATTATGGTATCGAAGCACCGACTACTCAGAGCATACGTCGGTGATATAAGCAGTTTGAAAAAACAGGGTGTTTATGCAAAGGAAAAAGCAAAAGTCGACCTCGTGTATCCGATAATGCGGAAAGAATTAGAGAGAGTTTTCAACGCAATCCGTGTTAAATCAACTAACCGCGCAAGTCGAGAACTAGAAATTCTACAAGCAACTGTTTAGCGGCTTGTTTTAAGACGACGTTTAACTATGAAACCATACAGATTGTAACTGTTGCAGGTTTTAAACCCAATGATAAGTTGAAATGACTTGAATTTGATATTTTTATGCAGGATAAAAATGTTTCTTCGTGATTAGTTTTTAGTGACGAAGCATCTTTCCACTTAAGTGATAAAGTAAACCATCATAACGTTCGTATATGGGGTACGACCAACCCTCATGCCATAATCCAACACGAGCGTGACTCACCTAAACTTTGTTCTGTGCCATATCCAAGATTTTGGTTTATGGCCCTTTTTTTTTTATTAAAAACACAATAAATGGTAGATCTTATTTAAAAATGCTTCAAATCTGGCTATTTCCACGATAAAACAATATTCTGATGACTACATTTATCAACAAGACGGAGCACCACCACATTGGCATTTAGATGTCCATGGTTTTCTAAACAAAACACTCCCTAACCGTTGGATTGGTTGCAATGGACCTAATGACTTAGCATTTTGCAGCTGGTCTCCTAGGTCACCAGATCTTATACTATGTAATTATTTTTTTTGGGGATGTGTTAAAGATGATTTATATTTACCATCATTACCATCAACCCTAGATGAATTGAAAAATCGAATAATAACAGCGGTGGAGTCAATTACAAAATATATGTTGCAAGAAGCATGGAATGAATTTGACTACCGACTAGATGTTATTTGTGTGACCAAAGGAGCTCACGTAGAACATTTATAAGCATAACTAATTAAACTTGACATATTTTTCTTTAATTTAATGTATACAATATTGTTCTAAGTATAAAATATAAATATATGTAAGCATTTTAAATTACCCTATATTATACCTGCTTAGATAAATCTAATATTTTGATTAGGCGCATCAGAACCATCTATATATTATTTTATTTTATTTATATGAAACAATGTAATATGTTAGTTTAGATTCGAGCATAATTATACTTGCTTTACGTTTTAACATGAGATAACACACAAATAACATATCAATAGCCGTACACTCGTACCAGTGACACATTTACGGGGGGGGGGGGCAAGGGAATAAATAAATCCCCCATAGGCTGTATACACACAAATAATTATAGTAATTATATTATTTAAAATATTATTATTATTTATTTTTTTTTTTTTTTTATCAATAATTGATTAAATTTGCAAAAATTAAAATATTATAATATATTGTACAATATTTTCATTGGTATCTTTATTTATAAAACTATACCCCCCCTCCTATGACAAAAACCTAAATATGCCACTGACTCGTACTAAAAAATACGTTGTATAGTTAAAAATTATATTACAAAAACAAATAGAACGATTTTGTTTTAAATCGGATTTTAAATTCAGAAATGTGATTGACCATAATTATATATTCCACTTTAGACCAATCACAAATTTCACTAAGGTGTTAGTAAAATAAATGGAAAAATATCAGTTGATATATTATTGAAACGTAGCCAAGTGAAAAGTTTCAATATTACAAAATAAAAACCCATTAGAAACAGTTTTATGCGAGAGATCATCCGCTGACGTTTTCCGAATGACGTCATAGGGAATGAATCAGAGTAATTACAAAGAAAATAATGATAGTAACATACAATAAAAGGATTGTTCCGAGTTAAACAATAAAAGTTGTCAAACAGTTTTTTACTGTAATAAATAATAATTAATCAACAATAGTATTAACGTAAAATTACGTAATAAGTTTAAATGATTATTTTATAAAAACCAGTACGTATATTAAAAGTTTCATTCTTCATACAAGTATTCATTTGGATTTACACCTCTTTTATATTTTTACTGTAATCATTTGTCAAACACTGAAGACAATACCTAAATCAGTTATGACTTTATGAGTTATACAATGAGAAGTTAGAAAAGCTGACCTTCAAAAAAGTCACGTCGTAAGTGACTCGTGAAAAGTGTTATTAAAGAAACGACTGACGACCAAGTGTATATACACATTATATAAATACAATAGATTTATTTTATAAGTGATACTTGTGAATCAAATCCATTTCTGTCTTTGATGTTTTATGAATATATATATATATATATATATATATATATATAAACAAATAAAATGATTATTTAATTTATGTTATATTATTCATTTTTATGATATCTAAATATCTACTAAGTAAATGAACGAAAAACCAGTAACCAAACATTAGCTATATAACTAAGTATATCATAATTCATAATCAACAATTCGTACAATTTTCCACGTATTATTTATAATAATACATTTTTACACAATTATTATGCATTGTTTATTTTTAATTCTAAGCTGGGCAATAATGAATGTACCTATTCATTTTATAATGTGTTATTAATTTTTTTTTCTTTATAGTCAAGTACAATAAAAGTTGTTGATAAAATACTTCTATTAAAAAACTATTAATATAATAAATTCAATTATTTCGAAAAAATAATATCAACCTACTAAAAATATCAAGTATATAACACTAAAAATAAAGTAAATTAATTTAATATAGCTACATTAAAAACAAAAAATATATCACTTGGTGATAAAGGTTGATAGACCGTTTCCGCTCAGAATAGTTTTTCATGTACAATGATATGTTATCATTGAATTCAAATTTAACATATCCATATTTAATAGTGATCCACTTGACACCTAATGTACAGCAGAGCAGTACCCACTTAGGTACCTTTTTTAATTATAAATATACAAGTTGTAACAAAAATATTTGATAACTATCATTAATTAACTCTGTAATAACAGACTGCTTAAATCAATAATAATAATAATAAATTTGACTAGGAACTACATGCTTTAAAAATATGCAAAAATTCTAAAATATGCTCTTAATATATTTTATTTTTCATTAAAAAATTAAAAATTATTAATTAATTAATTATTAAACAAGGCGTTTTTAATTTAATTTTTACAACAACAAAACTGTACTTAGTAACTATACTAACATACGCCAAATGAGAACACATACGATACTAACAAACACATTGACATTAACTGACCATATTCAACGTATTCTTTATCGACTGACATTGTTTTTCATAACAGAAATAATTAGGAAAACGCGCAGTAGATAGATTATATAAATATTTATATTTAATCATTTTAATCTATTTTTTTCAATTTCCAAAAAATTAATATTAAATATTGTAAATATATATAAAATATTATTCTCTTTCTCACATAATTTTTTTAAATTTTTTTTTAATAAAATATGTGAAATATGTACTTAAAATACAAATATAATAAAACATACACTTAAAAAGAAAAAAAAACCTGAATATGCAAAATATTCAAAAAAAAAAAATGATTGCTTCAAACTTCTAAAACTAAGAAAGAAACAAATTTCTATATTGCTTAGCTATATTATTGAAAAACATGCAAACTCATAAAAGTATCTAGCCTTAAATATGACTGAAAAAAATATTAACTAAATATATATAATAGTATATTCTAGTTTATATCTTAGTTTCTATTCTCTCCCTACTAATTTTTTTTTTTTTTTATTCATAATTGTTTACATAAAAAAATCAGATACCTAATTTATTATAAGGGAAATTAAATATTATAAAAAAAATAATAATAATAATAACGCATTGTATGTATCGCAAGACGTGCAGTAGGTACTCACGTGGTGGGCTCGTCTAGGAACAATATTGAAGGGTTGGTTATAAGTTCTAAAGCGATGGACAGTCTCTTTTTCTGGCCTCCGGAGAGCCGTTTGGTGATAGTGTCTCCATGAACGGATAGGCCCAACGCGTCAAGCAGGTCCTCCACTCGATCGGCTTTTGATATAGCCGATAAGGTTGTTGGTAACTTGAGGTGGGCAGCGACCGTCATCGACTCTCTGACAGTCAACAGGTCACGCACGTAATCGTCCTGCTGTATGTAGCAGCTTATGTTGGCCATTTGTTTTTCATCTCGTAACGAGTCGTTCAAATACACTTGGCCTGAACTTCCACTTATCCTGCAACGTAATTTAAATAACGTAGATCAGGTATTATATTATAACATGTTGGCGACATTCTGGAAACATGGCCCTGAAAGGCCAAGTGCTCGTGCCTTAAATCAATCATAAATTATAAAAAAATCGCAACCAGAGAGAAATTTTAGTACCTTTTGAAGTTTGTCAATGGATAAAATATTCACACATTATTGACTATTACACAAAGAAAGCAGGTTTTGCAAGTAGTACCTATATGTCTTATACAAATATTTAATTTGTATTTGCCCTAAAATTGACAAATTTGACAAAGTTTTAATCGGTTTTATTTTTTGGGATAGGGGAGAAAAACTTAGATTAATTAGGCACATAAATGTTCTTTTTTTTTAATTACAGGTATCTTAAATATTATCTTTTGTACAACAAACAATAATAAATATCACACAAAACTTATACATGAATAATTCAAATAGTAATTTTTACAACAGAAAAAAATCAAAACTTGTTATTGGATGATTTTAACAAAATAAAATATTATTTTCCAATTTATTTATTTTTAAATAATGAAATTAAAAATTGCGCCAACATAATAAAAGTTATAAAATAATAATACTCATCAAATATGCAAATCTTTTTTAGAGACATATTTTTTAAGCAAGATTTATGAAGTCCCTAATTTAATTTAAATTCACAATTAAATTATGGCTAATATATATTATAGCCATTATTAAATATATTTAATTCACATTGCAGGTGTAACGATATATGTTGTATTATTATTATATTGTATCATTGTATAATTCATCGATAAAATATTACAGAAATATTAAATTATTCATCTCTATAACTAGCAATTTGAGTGCAGATGTTGTCCAAAATATTTAAAAAATGCACGGAGCGTTGCCTCAGTACATTTTTAATTAGCCATGCCGTCACACACGGAAACTATACTCAGACTTCAATTATTGATATTATCATATAATGTAAAGTAAACATATTTATATAACAATTAATAGAAATAAATTAAACTGTTTATGTACTTATATAAATTAAATACACAATTACATATTACTTCTTCAGTAATAAAAACCTTATTAGAATAAGCAAATTAAGAACACCTATACTAACAATATTATCCTATAAGACAAAATATAATAATAAAACATTTAACATTTTTTTAATTTAAGTCTATAGGTATGTGTATACATTTTAGGGGAATATTTTTTTTGTGATATAGATTATTAAGTTAGCGTATGATTTTTAAAAAAAATTAAATACCCTTAATCATTATGAATTTACGACATCGACTTCATGTTTAATAAGTATACCAGTGACCATATTCTTCAAATATACCTTATACTAAAATATTGTGAAAACTCGATGAAAATTATTCTATAAATATTTTAAATCAAAATTAAAATTTGAAACAATTAAACGTATTTAAACATTTTTTAAATAACTTGTGAGTTGTACAAATATTTGTCATAAACAAGTAAAATAACAGATTCTATAAGCTACTCAAGTATAATTTTATCATTTATTTTGAAGGAACTAACATATGAGTGGATTTGTAATTTGTATGCATAAAATATTACACGTGGCTTATTATTTACAAACCTAATTGTTCACTTAAATGGTTATCGAATCTTGAATAAAGAATAATATAATGGCTATTTTTTATCAGGAGTTTAATTAGAAATAATATATCAACCCATACAAAACAAAATCATTTGATAATTAAATTCTTATTAAACAGCAGAATTTTTTTCTTCTAATGTTCAATATCATGTAAAAGTATATAACAAACTATTTTAGTTTTGTTAACATTGGAAACTAATTAAACATATAATTAATTTAATTTAAGTGCATTGTATACAAATTTTTTTATACAAGTGCTATTTTACTACACATTGTATGTGATTTAAAAACTAATTATTGTATTTTTATTTTTATTTGTAATTTTTTTTTTTTTACAATAACAATTTAATCTAGTGGTTCTCAACCTTTTTATGTTCACGGAGCATTTCTTAAAACTATACAATTTGACGAACACTATAGTAATAAAATAATAAATGGCAAACAAAAAAAAAGGCATTTTTACTTTAATTATTATAATTTTTATTTATATATTATTTAATTAGAAATTAATAATAAATAACAATATACGCATATACCACGGTCGTGGTACACCTACAACCAGTTCGAGACACACTTGTGTGCCATGGAACACCGTTTGAGAAACATTGTTTTAATCAATTGACAATTATTGTCATGAGTGTAATAAAAGAATAAAATTCAATGTGACATTGTTATTTTCCTTTATTTGATTTACACAATCCAAACAATTTTGATATTTACTAAAAACAGATTAACATTAAATAAAGCTTGATCTGGAGAAGCTACCACTGACAACACTCCTTAGGTTTTAGATTAAAACTAAAGAGTGTAGGACACAACGTTAGTTTCTTTTAAACCACTAGAGGGATAGACAAAAAATGTATTGAGATCATTTTTTGCAAAGATCATTTAAAGACTTATGATAATAAATAGTTTTATAGTTGTTTTTCTAATAGTTTCAATATTGAGGTTTTAATTTGTGAAGCTCCGTGTAAGGTTTAATTTAGAACATCAAATATTTATTTTTAATAGGTCAGAACCTTTTTATTTTTTTGGCGTGGGAGGAATTTGTTTTAAATTTGTTTAAGTTGAGTTTTTTTAAGCGGAGCTCAAATTTGTATGCATTTTGTGTAGATAGATTTAAAGGGTTTGTAAAAATTGACAACTGTAGTAAGTATTGTTAGTTTAGATTTTAAAGGGGTAAATTGTTTGAATGAGCGCAAGGACGTGAAATCGTAATTGTATTTAGTTATGTGATTACCAATTTTAAATTATTTACCATGAGTGCGGTGAATTTAAATCTTATTGCAAGTATAAAATATTTCTAAATATTAGTGATAATTTCAGTACATTTCTACCCAACCATATCGTCTAAATGCCCTATATATCCAGGTATCTAAAACATAAATTGTTGTCACCTTAAGGTCGTGTAGATATACAACACAAATCAAAAACCAAAATACTTGATATCTTGTTCGACAAAAATTACATTTCCTACTTAGGATTATAACTCCAAGAAAACAATAGCCTATAAGCTAGAATTTATTAGTAGTACATTTTAATCTATTCATAATTATGAATTACACACCGTGGTACACGACGCTTATTAAAATATTATTGTTTTAATGCACTCACGAGTATCCGGCGAGAACGTTGAGTAATGTGCTTTTGCCGCAACCTGACGGTCCCATGATAGCCGTTAATTGTCCAGACCGGAAACTGCCGTCAATTCCGTGCAAAATCTCTTTTTTTACTAGAAACAAAAAACAAGTACGTATTTATCAACCATGACACTTTCTTATAACACCTATTTTGATACCAAGCTATATTATTATTTAAATCATAGATCACTTGTACAATAGGTTAGAGATAATATGTATTTATACGTAACAAGCGGTAGTGTAAGTCAAGATTTTATAGCATACACTTAACTCAACGCTGTCGATTACATAAATACAATATCCTATATATATTATTGGAGATATCAAAAACTAAGAATAAAATATATCATATAAGTTTAAAAAACTGATACTTAATAAACCACATTAATATGACGCGTTATACACGTCAAAATAACAAATAAAGAAATATATATTATGTTTATAATATGAAATAAAATATAATTGTCAATCTATCTACACAGCTACTAAAAAAAATTAAATAATTCAAATAGGTAATCGAAGTCGAATTTTATTAAGAAATATTGTGACTTGTTTTAATTTTAGGAACATTGTATTATTTTAAATTATGAAAAAAGTTTAACCATTCTAATCAAATAATTTTTTTTTTCAAATAAATGATAATCAATAGTTTGAGCAGCGCCTATCTAGCTGGAAAAAAAAACAAGAATTCAAAAATATTCATTTGATATTAAAGACTCGTAACACACTAAATATATAATTTTACTAAGTAATAATATTATATTTATTTTATGCCAGCTGATAAAAAAAATTCAACTAAAAAAAAAATGGTGAGCTTGACCAGGAACCAGCAGTACTAATAATCTTTTTGATATCATCCATCGTCTTCTCAACCCGGGCCTTAATCGGTTAATTAATAATAAAATAAAATAATCGACATGACCAGTATTTTTATGACGTGAAAAGTCAAAGGTCGATTTAGATTTATGGAACAGCAATGTCACCTCACCCACCAAAAACGAAGCAGTAAGTTAGATTCCTTGGGCAGAAATGAATTTCAAAGCGGAAATCGCTCGTTATATCATTTGATGTATAAATATTTATATGATTTTATCACTCTCGCGTCAAATAGATACGGTTTTACTGAATATTTTATTCTATTAGAGGGTTCACCTTTATTTATATTGCACATTTCAAGACCACAATCACGATCACGGGTGACATAGGTACATATATATAGGTAATATCATACTTTATTTTTTTTTTTTTTCGATACGTATGAGATTAGCCGAGATTTTTTACACAAAGTAATTAATAAAATATTATTTCCATAATATAGTTCTATCATTATTAATTAATTGTGTTAAATATATAACTAGTGAGCAGAACAATGATAAAATAAAATACTATTGAAATAAAAGGATAGTATTTTTTTATTTTTGAAGAATTTCCGTAAATTATATAACTGCCTATATCATTTTTACTTTCGAATGATGCTCTTCGCCCATACTGCATGTAAACATTACATTTTTTCACTTTGTTCAATTACTAACAATATTAAATCATTTTATACTATTATATTTTAATTTATAAGTAAAATAAAATAGAAATAATCTAATCAATTATAGCAGATCGAACATGAAAATAATATGGGTCATTCGACGACCGTTACACTTAACTTGTCCAGTTGCTCGCATAATGGTAGACTGTGCGATTGCCTCCTTGTACAATATGTACATATTATTATTATATTGTTCAGATCGAAGGTCGGCGATGTGCGACGGCACTACGGCAGTAACTCTTATCCAGACATTATTTTCCTACTGTCAAGTGATTCGTAAATAACTAATACAATGACATAAATTACAATTACATCCTAGTTGAATAGTAAAACTCCCGTGGGGTGATAATTATTTATAGTTTATCGTCTTCACCGGAAACCATCAACTTGGTCTTTGATTATTATAACACGAAATAAATTACCATTGCATGTCACCAAATATTACACAGCAGCAGGATGTGAATATATAATATTATGATAATTGTATTTAATGATATTATGGTTTTTTTTTTTTATTTTAACTCTAAAAAACATTTTATCAATTATTGTATAATTATTAATTTTATTACTAAATAGTACGGGATAAGTACAGCACACAATATTTTTTACAGTGCGTATTATGTTAAAATGTATTTCAACATATAACTTTTAGAAATTTCGAAGTCATTTAATAAGACATTTTGTTCATAGTAAACAAAAAAAAATTGTACTGAAAATTACAAACAATAATAGTTATTGCTAATTTATATTTATAAACGACTCTGTGAAAATAGAATTAGAATAAAATATATTTCCAGTTGGTACACGTGCAATAACATATTTATACATACTATATTATACATTAAAGATTAGATACATTATGTCTATATATTATACGAATAATGGAAAAAAAAAACAATAGTATAGAATAATAAATAATCAAGTCACAAAGCACTACTCATCGAATTAATTTTAACTAAATAATAAAGAATATAATTTAAAAATTATATTTTGTATATTATTTATAAAATTACACTTGTAAACATTATTTTGATTTTAGTTAGTAACATTTTTAACCATTACTCTATAATATTGAGATTATATAGGGACTCGATCCTTCATGCGATATACGCAAAATTCCCCTTACAATATTATACACATACCCCAAATACTCAACTTAACGTATTCTCCTCAACAATTCTTTACCACTTAAAGCTCTCAATCAAAACAACACCGCCAATATTTTTAATTTTTTTAAACAAATAGACTTAGACAAAAACCTATAAATATCAAATGTTATTTCTAGTACGGTAAAAATTCATAATAGTAAATGTTACTCTGATAACAATAATCATTGTTAATAGGAGCCTTAATATTAATGAAAATAAAAAATGAACACATAATAAATATATTATAAAGTAATTGGCTTATAAATTATAAATACCTAAAAACAAACACCATGATATGACTTCAACATAACGAAAATAATCTAACAAGTTGTGTACTACTAAACCAGTTATCTATATTATTGTTCAACCCATAGATGACGCATAAAGCTATTTAAACTTATGTAAATTTAATTCGAAGTATTAATAAAATATTGTAATTTCAACTTTCAAAATAATGAGACTTGCTGAATGAGTTAGGAATTATATAATTTAAATAACAATTACTAAATAAAGAAACAAAAAACATTTTAAATATCCAATATATGATATAAATTAACAATAGATTATACAATAAATAAAAATATTTATTTATTTGAATCTTCAGTAATTTTATATACCTTATAACTATAACTTTCAACTGTTTTCTGTTGACTATACAGTGATTAAATTATCATTAAACTCAGTATAAAATTATCATTACTTAGATTGTACATATTAAAGTTAATTTCCGACCAATAATTATGTACTATAAATCCATTATATAAACATACTAAAAACATAGAAATTACATTATCTATATAAAAAATGTAATGTTTCCTGAATAAAAATTAAAAAAAAAACATTGTATAACCAATATCATCATTATAACTCAGAGCAATTATCAAAATCTAAAAGTAAATTAATTATATTAGATTATAAATAAATGTTATAAAATATTTTAAACTATATTTTAGTAATAAATAAAAAATATTTAGGAGAATAGATTAATTACATTTTGCTTAGGATTTTCATAATAAAATTCCTGTGACAATGTTTAATCATAAAAAATAAAAATTGTATTTCATTGCATTGCATTTATTTTGCAATGCAATACATACAATATTCCTATAATATAATGGTAGTATAGAAGTAATTCGCTATAACAGCATCAAAAGATGGAAAGTATATTACATCTTCTTCTGATTCTAACCTTTACTATTAATTTCGTAAAATGTTATCATTTTGATAAATAGGTGATTAAGTATAGGGTTTAATTATTAGAATCCTTATGATACATTAATTTGTTTTGTGCATTTAAGTAGCAATGATAGAAACAGGAACAATGATAAGAGGTTATTGAACTGAATTAAAATATCAAATTAATAAATCAAAAAATGCGGGAATTATTCGAAAAGTAGAAAGGTTATTATTTTTATCAATTATAACATTTTATAAATGTCGAATATAAATTGATTCTTTAAATATATTTAATTTATATTTTAATTGATTTAATCAAACTAACTATTATCAGTTATATTGTTTTGCCTTATTCTTTCAATAAAAAATGTATATTTAAATCACTTTGTGTAAAAATGTAATGACATTAAATATTAATTCATTAGGTATTATAACATAAATATTTTATAGATTTTAAAATAATGTTTGCTAGTAATCCAGTAATATATATTTTAAAGCACCTAATATATTTAACATATAACTTCTCATAATATATTTATAAAATCATTTTCTATTATTAAAATTTTGAAAATATGTATCATAAAAAAAAAAGAACAACAATGTAATATATTATTCTAATATACGAGTATATATAATAGATCACAATCATCATTATTATTATTTATCTCCATACATAAAACTATAATAAATTACTCGAATTAAAAAGTAATTAATATATTAAATAATTGAAATAAAACAATAAAATTTAAAACGTATAACCAAAATAAAATAAGTAAGTACACGATATAAATATATGAAAAAAATAATAAAATATAATAATGTTCGATGTAGTTTAGTAGTTGAAAATATTAAATGTCTTTCAAACGTTATTCGTGATAATTTTAGAAGTATTTTTGGCATAAGACACCAGAAACACTAATTAGTTGGCTTAATATCACATATTCACTATTTATGAAACTACGATAACCAATAAAAGAGGTGAAGCCAATATATTTCTTTGTTTATATTGAGTTTATTGTAACACCAACAAATTTTAAAAATAATTCAAACAAAATTAAATATTATTTTAAGTTCAAAAAAAAAACTCTATGTTCACAATTTATTATTATATTATATACACTTTCGATTATTATTGTTAGTCGGCTATTGACATTATAGAAAGCAACTCAGTTCAAGGTCACCAAGACTCCAGTTTGCCACAACCCATAATAGTTTACTAATAATTAAT